ATTAATGTTAGGATTTTTTTGGCTGTCCTATGACGTTAGGTAAAATGTTTATTTGATATAATGTCTGTTGTAGTCTGATGAAGCTACTGTATTTAGCGAAACGCATAAATATATATTAAACTTCACATTTCTACATGTATATATATATACATGTATATGAACAAAGACAGTTTCACTTTATCAAAAGACTGAAGATTTAAAAATATAAATATGATATATAAATATTCACAACCAATGTAACTATCATGAATTAATTTAATTTCGTGGGCATGAAATTTCGTGGAATATCTTCTTGAGGTTTTTAAATTCGTGGTCAGTGTATTTTTTCCAAAAGGTATAAAATGTAAATAAAGTGATGCAAAATAATTTTACAGAAGACAAATATAATTTTCGTTGGATCTTAACTTCGTGGTTTGGCATATCCAAGAAAACCACAAAAAGTATTACCCCACAAATAATAATGATTTTGCAGTATTTATATTCTTTATGAATGAATTCATCTTTATCACCTTATCTCTACCCTTCTACCTAGTAAGCATTCTTTTTGCATATTTTGACTAAAAAGCATGCAACATGAATAGGTTACTGTTTTTTATTCAAAGATTTTCAACCCTAACTAATATTATAACATAATATTACTAATTTAATGCTTATGCTCTATCAATAATTGCAACAGCTCCTGATAGTTATAACATGTGTTAATAGACTTTTACTGTTACTACTCATTTACCGCATAAACTTTATTTGGTGTCGGGATTGAGTTTATATATTTATGATAATACAAACTAAGAAGAAGCAAGAGTCTCTTCAGGTCTCTAGAAATATTATTGGTAATATACATTTTCGTTTTTAAGGAGAGGTCACAAAGCTACAGAACCATTTGCGACTCCTCCGTGAAGAGTATGTCAAGTTGCAGAAACGTCTCGCAGATGTTGAGAGGAAATACCAAGTTCTGTCAGCATCTTCCGGTCAGAGTGGCGACAATAATTTTGTTACGAAACTTCTTCACACAGTTGCAGATCTGTTTGATAAACAACTTTACAGGTAATGTTAATATGTTCCATTGATTGATTTTTTTTTCAAGTCTATGGCATTAAAAAGAAGCTCCACTGAGGTTTTTTGATATGATGAATCTGGAAAGATTTTTCGGAGATTAGTGTGCCAATAGATTTTATAAGGAACTGGGCAAATGTGGGTTTTTCCAAACTGATCCCCCAGTACATGTACAAACAAACTTTTACCATTATAGTTTCACTGTCTGTTGCATTAAAGGGACTACACTGAGGTTTTTTTTGATATGACGATGCATGAAATATTTTTCAGAGTTTTGTGTGCCAATTGATGAAGGTCAGGACCAGTATCTTGTATGCAAATATTAAGGACATTCCTGTTTTTCCAGAATAATTAATTTTATTGTGTAAAACAACGCTAAAATAAAAAGTGTTGCAATGCATTTCACTTAAATCCAGCTAAAAATCACACTCAATTAAATTCTGGATATTTTTCTTTGTTATTCTTAGCCGATTTTTCCATTTTAGTGCTTCACTTGATATTTGTAAGATTTTCAAATTTTATGTTTTTAGGCCTTTGGACCTCAGTGGAGTTCCTTTAATTCATAAAAAATTTATCTATCTAAGATGTGTGGAGGGCATTTATTCCACCAAATTGTTGCTTTTACTTTAGTTAATTTGAGCCTGACCAAATGATTATTTTTCTTTGGCTTAATTTTCTTATGGATTTAATAGCAGACAACATGTATATCTCCAACATTCTTTGCTTTCTATAAAAATCACGGGGGAGAATCACGCCGTTCGTTACCCAAACAAACAAGATGGCAGATGCAGCCAAAAAGTAGGTTTTTCCATTTTTACTCTGAAATTCGTGATGTTCTAATGTAAAGGTACATATAATAACCTTCTCCACAATTTTCCTGGCACACACGATTTTGTTTCATGATGTTTCGTCCCGTACTTCATCTGAAATGCGCGTCACCAGATTCGAAGCGAGAGAATTTTCCACCGGTTTGATCGTGGTAACGTACTGCTTTTTTTCCTAAAATTCACTGTTTCGTTTACATATATGTATATTAACTGAAACCACTGACTTTAAAAAAATGTAATATGTCGTCATCTAAGCATTCATGCCCATTCTGGCTAGAATAACCCCTGAAAATATTAATATCGGGATATTTTCTGGAAATGATAACGTATGGCGCACAAAATATCAATGATAACATACAGCGCATTTTTTTCTGATTTATTGATTTTCTATATGATAGGCATAAGAGGATGTGTAGAACCAAATAAAGAAACTGAAATAAATAATATTAGTGTCCAGCTTTATTTGTCATCCAATGAAAACGCTATATTTCTTAAAAATTCTTTGTGTGAATTTTTATAGAAGAACAAAAGTCGATGATATATTTAAGTCCGTTCATAGCAGCCTTCTATTTTTCATAGTGCTTCATAGAAACGCGTTCGTGAAAATAGACGAAATAAAGTAAATATTAATGAAGTCAAATAAAGCTTGACACTAAGTATGTTTGTATTCATCCGTAGCTGTTCTACAGAAATAAGAAATATTCTCCGGTCGCTATCGCTCCCGTCGAAGTTTCTAATTTCTGTAGAACAACACGGATGAACACTAACATATACTTAGTAAACACTAGTTTAAGAGTAGCGTTATAATTTTTAAAACCGTTCTGTCATAAAGATAATGACGACATCTAAGAGCATGAGCGGTCTGTTTTTTATATGTATGTACATGTATATGTATTTATGTATGTGAATATGTATACAAGAGACCTATAATTTAGTGGTTTAAAGATCAATTTTGATATGGAAATGTTCATTATGTAACTACTTAAGAAAATTTCGGCTGGTATTTACTTTATCAATCAAAATTGATCTTCTCCAAACTTTTTCAAGATTTTTGATATTACACTGTATGTTTATATGAAAACTTATGTCATACACTGTTCATTATTGTGCATGTTTTTATGTCGTCATCGGCTTTTAAGCCTATTGGAATAAAATAAAATGTTTACTGTCTACTATAATAAAAAAAACTGTAAGGCTATGTCGCGTAAATATATCCGACGTCATAGAGGCACAACGTCACGCTAAATGATAGCGTTTCAATATTAACCGCCCGTCAAATAAACAGAAATTTTCTTATTTACTAAATTCATTGAAGTTTTTCGCATAACATTATTTTCTAACTTATTCAATAAATTCAATATAGAACCTACAGTCATTCATTATTCTCTGTTATGTATTTTTCTTTCAATGGGCGACCAGATTGAATAAACACAGGCTCATCTCATCTCACCTGGGTGTAAGCTAGTCGCAATCACTTTTCGTTTTGTTTATGTTTGACAGATTTGATAGGAATGTTTTTAGACTTTTTCTTTTGAAAAGAAAATATATCAAGCCGTCCGTACCTTTTTAACAATTTTGCTCTGCAGAATGCGTTTCTTCTTTCTGATAAGGGGATACGACCATAATTATCGCACAACACTGGCAAAATTTAATGTGAAGACAACACTACACAAATGTTTCCTGAATGTGGAGGCTTTTCTTTCCATTCTGCATTTTATACAAAATATTCTCAAAATATACACGTGTGTTTTAATTGGTATATTAACATCGAATATCTATTATGCCACCAGCTGGAAAGATATTTATACCCAATGGTGCAGCATAGTTCAATTAATTATTTCTTTTCTGACCTGACCAACATTTTTTTTCAGATATCTATCATTTCCTACATAAAAATAATTCATTATCAGCTGATTGGACAAATGGAAATCCACCAAGTAGTAAAATGCCCCGTACGTTATCACTGATATTTTGTGCGCCATACATTATCATTTCCAAAAAAGCCCCGATATTAATATTTACAGCAGTAAATCTAGCCAGAATGGGCATGTTTGCTTACTTGACAACATATTTCAACTTTTTAAAGTCAGTGGTTTCAGTTAATATACATATATGTAAAAGAAACAGTGAAATTTAGGGAAAAAGCCGTACGTTACCACGATCAAACCGGTGGAAAATTCTCTCGCTTCAAATCTGGTGACGCGCATTTCAGATGAAGCACGGGACGAAACACCATGAAATAAAATCGTGTGTGCCGGGAAAATTGTGGAGAAGGTTATTATATGTACCTTTACACAAGAACATTACGAATTTCAGAGAAGAACAGGGAAAACTTACTTTTCGGCTGTATCCGCCATCTTGTTTGTTTGGGTAACGAACGGCGTGATTCTCCCCCTTGAAAAATGGCAGTTAAGTTATATAACTCTTTTTATCTACAAATAATTGCATAATTGGATAAATAATTCTCATTTGAAATATAATTTCAATTAATTGTGAATTATGTATATCTCAATGATTTTATTTTTAAATATCTCATATTTTTAGTATAAATATGCATAGCTAAAGCTTTAATAAAATTTCATTTTAATGGTTACGGACTAATTTTTATTATTTCATATGAAAGAAAATCTTATGAAATAAAAAAGTACTGCAAAAAATGTATATAATTATGTAAATGTCAACATATGTAGCCTTGACTAATATTTTGTCAACTATTGTTTTAGTGATCTGACAATACAATTGGAAGGTGGCAGACAACTGTTTGGACACAGGTTTGTGTTGGCAGCTCGTAGTGACCACTGGGGAGTTGATGACCTGTCAAAAGTGTCAGATCTGGACTTTTCAGGTTAGTTGATACTGCCATCAAGAGACCCTTTTTTCTCTCTTATAATATAGGATTTTAATACCAACCTAAAGTTCTTTTGATAAAAATTTTCTTATTGCTATTATTTAGTTGACAGGTAATTGGTAGGATAATTTAACTGAATTGAACTGATTTCTACAGATCAAGTACCGTAGGTGTCGGAGAGGGGCTTTCTTTAGGTGCAAACATGTAGATAAAAAAAATAAATTTTTTTTTTAAAAAGCAATAAATAATTTGTGTATTGGTTACTCAATGGAATAAGTGGGCTCTACACTTTAGCCCAAGAAAAACAATGGAATATTATAAAGTATTAGAATAAAATGCTTCCTGAACGGTTATTTGTATTGGTTTTCTGTCCCCCACACAGGTCACAAAATGTCACATGGTATAGGAACCATAATATTACATTGTGATGTTGATATCATTTAGGAATCAAAAACAGTATGTCGAAATTGAAACAGAGCCGTATAACAAGTAAAAACTCTGACTTTTTTCTCCTTTTTGTTTACAGATATAAAATATAATGTATCATACGCCTTGATGAAATGGGTGTATACAGATGACATCAACATTGAATCAGATAGTGGATTCTTGTTAGAACTGTTACGTGCAGCGACCAGATTCAAACTAGAGCATCTACGGCAGAGGTATGCTCCACATATTTAAATATTATGTACTTTATGTAACAGGAAATAAAGCTATATGTGTATCTTTCACAGAAAGATTAAAATTTTGGAGAAAATTGTTTGACAAATAGAGCCCCATAATGGTAAAAATGTTGAGACAAACCTACATTTTAGTTAAAAATTATTTTACCCGTTGTGCCCCTTAAAGAGTCCCAAAGTTGGGACAATCCCAGCAGTTATTTGCAACTTTAATCTTATTTTATTTTCAGAAGAAAAAGTAAAGAATTGGATTAGAAATAAAAAAAAAATAATGACCTCAAAGTGGAAAACACTTTTTACCTACTAGTATTCATTAGGGTTTGATATCCTGTATGGTTTGGTATTATTAAATCAAATCAGGTTTAATTTTATTTATAAACATTTTTTTTTTAATACTTGTTCTCTGTACATATACAACAAATGCTCGTATGTTATATCTTTTACTCAATTATTTGTCATTTGTTTAATGTCTGTGTTAGATTTCTTTGAATATCTACCCCTAAAATGGTTGCCCGTTTTGTCAAGGGATATGCAAAGTGAAACAGGCAGGAATTATAAATTACAAATATCGTTTCAGGTGCGAGAGCGGACTTATGTCGTACGTCAACATGAAGAACTGTATACAATTTTATCAGACAGCTGAAGAGATGGACGCTGAATTGTTGAAGAGCCATTGTTCCGAACTTATATCTAACCACTGGGTAAGTGATCAATTTAATTAATTTTATTTTAGTTTGAGAATGGGGAAGGCCAGCTTTTGATACAGTAAGTGGTTGTATGGTCTTTATAATGTCACTATGACATTAATCAGGAAAAAAAAAAAAATTGAAAACCATTTGTTTAATGTAAATGAATATGATGTTGTTTTTAACTTTTTATGGAAGCAGTTACAAAAATGCTGCTGTTTTAATTCGGAGCATTGTCTCTTTGTATAGCTATTACTGCTATTTCTACATCTATTTTCATGTTTTTATGAATTAAGGACAAAATTTGCATCCCATATATACATATTTACAATAATAATATTTCATTTTATTTTCACAGAATGACTTTACAAGCGAGGATTTTGTGTCAATGCCAGCACCGCTGTTATACAAAATGTTTAAAGCAAAATCAGACTATCCTCTACATACAGCTATACGTGCCAAAAGAGAGGATGTTGTTTTCTTGTATCTTATAGAATATGATTCACAGGTATGTATCCAATGGGTAGATGTTCTATACGAGTTCCGCACATTTCTTTGATAAAGTTTCATGCAAGTATTTCAGTGGTCTATCATTCCATCACGTACCTTTGCCATTTCTCATACCATCTGTATTGACTGATGTTTTACATATTTAACTTTGGGTTAGAGATTATCTGGGGTTATATTGGGTTAGAGACTGTCTGGGGTCTTGTTGGGTTAGAGACTGTCTTTGTTATGTTTCCTGATATGAAACTATTACTGGTTGGTACAGAAAGTAGATTTAAGATGGTTAGTTCCAATCTTACAAGGGGAAATCACTATGTTTTATCACATATTACTACAAAATGTGCTTAATCATGCAAGACAAATGTGGGGGCATCCTCTCCAAGGGATTTGGTTAATTTGTGAAACCCCTTTGAGATTTTGATATAAACTTACAATTTAGTGAAAATCACACAGAGGCTAGTGAAAATTAGGAAAACAATATCACACCCTCTGGAAAACTAGTAAAATATCCCCCCCACCCTCAAGAATATGCATTACCTCTTGTCAAAATTTTGCAAACCTGATTTGGAAAAAAATCCTAAATCAATGTCTTTACAAAGTTGTTTCTATAGTGATTTATAGAATTTGAAGATATCTTATTGAAATTGAACTTAAATGAATAAAAATATAATAGATAAATTAAAGCTAGAATTTTACACTTTTGATTTGTCTCCCCTTTTATATTATTGTTTGATAAATTTTTGTTTTAGTTGAGCATAAAGTTGAATGAGGTGGACAACCAGGGAGATCTGCCACTAGATCTTGCTCTGAAATCTAAACAGGAAAGTGTGGCACAGACTCTGGTTGGACATGGTGTAAACTGTAGCAATAAAGATAATGCTGGGAGGAGTCTACTTCATAAAGCAATTAAAAGAGGTACGTTGTATTTGCAGGTAAATAAATCGTACAAAATGAATAAAATAGACCATGGTCAAAAAGTGTGTCAGCATTGATAAGAATATTCACAATTAAGACCACCCCGCAATTAAGACCACTTTGGTCCAGTCCTGATGGTGGTCTTAATTGAGGGATTTTACTGTAATTTTTGTAACAATTTACACAAAGAGTTAACCTTTACCACAGTAAATGGACTTGTCTATCTTAAAATCTGGACAAATCTATTCCTCATTTTTAGGTAAAATTTAAAACTTTGAACTGACTGAATAGCAAACAGTGCAGACTATGATCAAACAGCACCGATGTGCCTGTAATCTTGGGTTGCACTAGTCTGATGGGTAGATGAGCATATTGTGAAAAATAGCCGTTTTCATTGAAAAGCTTCCTGATACAAGTTCAAACTGCTATGAAACTATGAATACTAATCAAACTTGGCACAAATGTTGACTGGATCATTGCCTTTGTAACAACATGCTCAGTCTTAAATTTCCTGTTACCATGGCAACGATGGGACGTCTCAAATTGCCAAAAATCACTATTTGGGTTGATTTTTTCCATCAAAATTGATTTCAAAGTGCTGCAACTTCTCAATGGATTGAGATAGAGTCAAAGGCTTTTCAGAGTTGGTTACACATTACCTTATGATCGAAGTGGGGTCATTTTTAGCCACTCACGATTCAAAAAAAAGTTCTTGGCGATGAGGGGACTACTGCCCCCCTTCAACCCCCCCCCCACGCCAAACAGAAGGGGGCACATCCTCCTTCTGGCAAGCCCCTGGTGTAACTTTTTGAATGGGGGTGGAGCCGAAAAAGTGATCACTTTTTTAAGCAAAATTTCCCAAACGAAACACAGTGTTTTGGGCTTATATAGGGTAATTTTCACTGTTTGAGGCCAGGGTCGAAAAACCGTCAAAACACGTCTATATGAAGTAAAGGGTTAACTGTTCATTCTTTCAGCTGTTTAATTTTATGAATGCTAACTTATTCTCATCAGGTTATACGCTTTTGGCCAGATAGGTACGTGTAATATAATGGAATTGTATTATATTTAGGGGACGAGTTTTCCGCAAGTTTTCTGATAAAGAATAAAGCAGATGTGAACATGACCACACATCTGGACAAAGAGACCGCACTACACATGACGGCATGTTTCAGTCCTGATGTTACGAGTCCAGAAATAATGTCGGGCATGGCAAGAATTGCGGAACTTCTGTTAAATAATGGTGCGCAAGTTAATGCTCAGGATACGGCGGGAAGGTTTGTTTGTTAATTTGTTTGTGTAACAATATCTGTATAACGAGTATTTATGCATATTGTATGTTTCATCGATCAAAGTTTTAAGACCTTATCAATGTTGATGTGAAAATAACATAGAAATAAAAAAAAAGTAGTAATTGATATACATGTATAACATTTGATAGATTTCTTGATAACATGTGACAGAAAGCATGCAAGAAGAAACAAGCTACAATAATGATTTATTTTTTTTTAATTGAGATAATGAATATCTTTTTTCAGGCCTTTCCATAATATCTGACATATTTGATAATGATACTTTACCATGATACAGTATATGTATTAAGGGAACTCCACTGAGGTTCAAAAGTCTAAGAACAAAATAATTTAAAATTCTTACATAGATCAATAGGGACATTTAAAAAATGCAAAGATATGCAAAAAGATAATAATGAAACATACTCTGAATTAAATTAAATATTGTATTGTTTGCATGATCCTTAGCCATATTTGAGTTAAAAGCTTTAAACACTATTAATTTCTGGGTCATTTTTCATGATTTATGTAATTATTCTGGAAAACAGCTTGAGTGAATGATCTGAGATTTTGAACAGATATTAGTCCAGACTTTTATCATATGGTATTGAAAATTTGAATAAATAATTCCAGTTAAAACATTAAAAAGTAAAAATGTCAGTCTTGATATTTTTTCTTACTTTTTGAAAATGTTTGACTTACGAAATTAACCCATTTTATGAGCAGATGTATTTTATATTATTTACAGCACCCCACTTCATAGTGCAATATTCTGTAAAAACAAACCAGTATTTAAAGTATTACTGCAAGAAGGAAAACCAAACCTAGAACTGAAAAATGCTGATGGTCATACTGTCTTATGGCTTGCGTTACAAGAGGTAAAATTATACTGGTGATTTTAAGCTATTTTATTTCTCTTTAAAACTTTCATTCACAAGGGCATATACATGTAGTTGCTAGGTATTCTTTCTTTTATCCAAACAGATTCATTTCTCATAGCTCCTTCAAAAATTGAGCAGTATCTTAGCTAATTGGTGTTTCTTAAAGTATCTTGCATGACATCCCACTGTCTTGACGTCAGATATCCATCTGTAGACCAACAAAACAATGGAATGTGGGCGTATGCATGTTCTGTATACATATTTTTATTTTAACTGGGGTGGTGAGAGTCTAAGATATAAATATTTCCACTGTTTCTGCTTAATTTGTGTAATGACATTGTTACTTTGGAACAGTCTATAACCCTCATCATATTAGATATCTTAAATGGATTTGTCGCGCCTTCAATCTGGACTAATCCATCATGAATAGGAAAAATTTTCAAAATATGTATTTACTGAATAGCGAATAGTAAAGACCATAATCAGATGGCACTGATGAGTTGTTTGACCTTGATCTGCACTAGTCACAGTTGCAACTAGCAGGCTAAGGGTTAATTACTGTAGTTATACTTAAAATATGAAAATTAAAGGCACATTAATTCTAAAAAATGAAATATTTTTCCTTCTATAGAAAGAGCAAATATTTGTTTTATTATGTTGTAACAATGGATTTAGAACATGAGAGTTGCTAATTTCCCGACGGACATAACGTTGAATGTGAAATAATTTGTGAAAAATGGAAGCAAAATGTGAACACAGTACATACAAAATACTAAATCACTATAAGTTTTGCTTAAATGCAAATGAAGCAAAAGATGATTGTGTTATATTGCCATTGAGTATCTTTTTTGAAACTATTAACAAAACACACACACAAAAAAAATAATAAAAATGACAGCGCTAATTTAAGGCTAAGTGGGCCTTTAACAGTCTGGTTAGATAGCATGGTTTTGTAGACTGAGCTGAATCTACACTTGATGCCTAGGTCTGTAATTTGTATTGCTAGTACTTGTAGTGTTGTTATTGTAGGGCGAGTCAGTAGATGGAAGGACAGAAGATATCTATAATGAGGAAAGTTTTGCCGCTCAGTTATTGAAACATGGCAGTGATCCAAATGCTACTGAACCTGAATCAGGTAACTAGAGCGTCACTTTTTTTTATCAAAAGTACAGCATACATATGAGTAGATATGAAGTACATCAATGTAAAAATAAATAATATCAGAAATGTTAAGAAAAATATGTTTTTTTTTCATTTGACATGTTTTTAACATTATTTCATTGAGACTGTGTGCTTTTTGGTAAATATTTCATTAGGTCAAAGCTTTTTTTGGTCATTTTTTCATTGAACCTAGCTTTTTTGTCTTTATTTCATTGGACACATTATTTAATGGGGACAAAGCTTTTTTTGGGCATTATTTCATTGAACCTAGCTTTTTTGTCTTTATTTCATTGGACGCATTATTTAATGGGGACAAAGCTTTTTTTGGTCATTTTTTCATTGAACCTAGCTTTTTTGTCTTTATTTCATTGGACGCATTATTTAATGGGGGACATAGCTTTTTTTGGGCATTATTTTATTGAACCTAGCTTTTTTGTCTTTATTTCATTGGACGCATTATTTAATGTGGGGACAAAGCTTTTTTTTGGTCATTTTTTCATTGAACCTAGCTTTTTTGTCTTTATTTCATTGGACGCATTATTTAATGGGGACAAAGCTTTTTTTGGGCATTATTTCATTGAACCTAGCTTTTTTGTCTTTATTTCATTGGACGCATTATTTAATGGGGGGACAAAGCTTTTTTTGGGCATTATTTCATTGAACCTAGCTTTTTGTCTTTATTTCATTGGACGCATTATTTAATGGGGACAAAGCTTTTTTTGGGCATTATTTCATTGGGACAAACTTTTTCAGGCATTATTTCATTGGGACAAAACTTTTTCGGGTATTATTTCATTGAGACCTGGCCTTTAAAAAAAAAATACATTGATAGAATTTCCACATTTTTTTCACTCAAGGGGAACTTTTTTATTAATTTTCCAGTGTCACCAATCAGTTAACAAAAAGTTGAGATGTAAATCATGATTTTTTTACATAAATTTGAACGAAAAAGTAAAGTAACAAAATTAAAGGCAAATTCTTATTTTAAACATACATGTATTTCATTACCTAGGTGATACAGTTCTACATTCTGCAGCAAGATCTGGTAATGAGAAGGCAGCAATATTCCTTGCTCTCCATGGTGCCAAACCTGGCCTGGCTAATCATAAGGTATACGTTTAACTTAAATATTTGTTGTTGTTGTTGTTTTATGTATGTTAATGTATAGTTAAACTCATTAAATTCATATCCTAACTGTGGCTCCACTACCTTTCACTAGGTAGCTTTGTAGTAAAGAGTAACAGAGCGAAAAACGATTTTAATGAGATTGATGTATAGTGGTCCCAGGTAAAACAAAGTGGCCACTCCTCTAGATGTGTGCTGATAGTCATGTGTAAATGTTAGATTTAGTTTAAGTCAGTGCTAGTGAATGTCGACATTAGCATGCTTTATGGACTTTCCTTTGCTGTCCATAAGCAGGCTCAGTCAAGCAGAACCTGTAACATTTTAAATTTTGGCCCTTTTTGGCGTTCTTTAGGGATTCCAATTCTCTATTATTATTTTTTAAGTACATTTTGAGAACATTGCAGGTTACAGAAGCTCTTCCATTTTAAAAGTGACATTTAATTCTTTGTTGTACATGTTCATAAGCAGAAATAAACAGGGCCTTGTCATCAAAATGCCCATTTGTTATTATACCTCCACCATATACTGGAATCACTTTGTTGCATATAGTCAGTGGATCTGTCTGTCATTGTGTTAGCTCTATAAATCCTATACCCCTTAAAGGAATTTCTTCAAACTCGGCTCAAAAGTTCAACTTAACAAGAGTTTACAAGTCATGCTGCAACTGTGCAAGGTTAAGGTCAGGGTCACCCTTAAAGGTCAAAAATTGAACATTTTGTATGTGCACAATAATGTCTAAAACCAGTCAAAACATAATAAGATTATTGTTTATTGATGTTATATTCATACATAATTATATCCTAGTTATTATCTTTTGCTCTTGAGAATGGTGTAGCAGATAAGCATTTTATGAACAAGTCTATATTGCATTTACTGAAAATGCACAAATGATTTTGTGCACAAATGATTTAAATGTATCTTTTATGTAAGTGTATTTATTTGTATCTAAACATAGTCTTTTCATTATGAAAATTTGTGTTCTATATTCCAGGGTGAAACCCCATTACACATTGCCTGTGAAAAAAGCCTTACAAATCTGGTTGTTGTTCTACTAGACAAGGGAAGTAATCCAAATGCACAGACAGTAAAAATAGAGACCTCTGGTGGCAGCTTGACTTCAGATTTACTGTCAGAAAATGACACAGTGCCAGTCTCTCAGCAGACTCCACTTCACCTAGCCTTGTTAAATGGACATAGTGATATAGTTAATGTCTTCCTCCAATTTAAATGTAAGTTTACAATGCTGCATTTGTTCATAAAGTCTACATTTGTTTTATGAACTTGTCATGCTTGGGACTGTTCATTATCATATATAGCATGACTATTAGAAGAATTTGGAGAGCTATTGTACTTGCCCAGTTTTTGGATCAGCATCACACTTTGGTAAAGATACATGCCTCCGTGGTCGAGGGGTTAGAGTCGATGACTTCTAATCCAGTTATCTCTCTTGCGTGGGATCGATCCCGGGGAGATGCTTTGGTAGTTTAGTGCGGAGGAAGGTAGTCTAGTACGGGTGTAACTCTCCAGGAACGATGGTTAGGAAACTACCCGCCTATATGACTGAAATACTGTTGGAAAAAGGTGTAATATGAAACAAACAAACAAAACAAACTTTGGTTAAGATAAAGCTTGCAAGTTGATATCTCCAAAAGTACTGAAGAAAATGGGTAGAAACCACATACTTTATGAGAGCATAATAGGAGGTCGCTGCCTAAGGCCCATAATTTTAACATGGGATACTATCAAGCACTGCTTACCTAAAACAGGTAACCTTTTATACTGTTGAAATGTGTGCTCTGGTTAACTTAAACAAGTAACCAGGTATGCCCCTGAAATGTCTGCACTGGTTACCTCAAACATGTAACCAGTTATCCTCTTGAAATGGCTGCACTAGTTACTTCAAACAGGTAACCAGCTATGCTCTCGAAATGTCTACATTGGTTAGCGTAAACAGGTAACCAATTATGCTGTTGAAATGCCCACACTGGTTTGCATAAACAGGTAACCAATTACGCTGTTGAAATGTCCACACTGGTTAGCTTAAACAGGTAACCAATTATGCTTTTTAAATGTCCACACTGGTTAGCTTAAACAGGTAACCTGTTAACTTATGCTCTCAAAAGGTCTACACTGGTTAGCTTAAACAGGTACCCAGATATGCTATGAAATGTTTGCATTGGTTACCTGTTTTATGCCCTTGAAATGTTTGCTTAGCTTAAACAGGTAAAGTTTGTTATTGAATGTCAAGATTGGATATTTGTAGTCCTTGGCATTGCAAAATTACAACTAGGTATTCTGTGTGATGTATTTAAAGGGACTTCATTTAGGTTTATTGACATTACAATATTATAGAAATATAATAATGAAAATATTATAAATATTTAGATGGAAATATTTTTGTGATTTTTGTACCATTAAAAAGGCATTTGATGTAGGTCTGGATCAATAACATGTTTGCAAATTATCAGGTCATTCCCTCACCCCAATTTTACAGATTGTGCAAAATGACCCAAAAAATGAAAAGCATTGCATTTCTTTTTACTCATCTAGGGCTAAAAATTGCTCAGAAACTCGATAACCAATTTATTCTGAGTATATTTCTTTTTTATCTTTTGCAGATTTTCCAATTTAAGTGCTTTACTTGAATCTATGTAAGAATTTCAAATTTTAAGTTTTAAGGCCTTTTGACCTCATTTGAGCAATTTTGTTAAATTTTCCTCAAAAATATTTTGTTATCTGGTTTGGTTAAAAACTGTGTGAAGCCAAATTTTCTCTACAACAATTTGCTTTGTTTTAAACAGTGGAAGCTGCTCAGAGCTTGGACAACAAAATAATCCCAAACTTCAATATCAAAGACTCTGATGGGCAGACCGTTCTTGGTCTTGCATTGTGGAGCCATCTATATGAGGAGGCGGGGAAATTGTTGGGGGCGGGAGCGAATATTAATGAGAAGAACACGGAAGGTCTTACTCTACTTCATCAGGCAATTGATAAACAAGACATCTCTGGGGCATTGTTTTTAATAGAACATCAAGCAGATCTGACTATCAAGTGAGTAAAGAATATTGATGTTTTTTTGAAAGCATAAAAGAATGCGAACAAATCTTCAAATTCAAAAACCACCATATTATTCAAATATGAAATTCTGGTTTGAATAATCGAATTTTGTTCTGTTGAATTTAATGACTTTAATTTTACAAAATAAACCATATATTCAGGTCTTTTGTTTATTGTGTGTCATAAATTGTCCGAATAACAAAGAAATTACAATGTTTAACTTGTTATCAGCGTTTGGATATGCAACAATTTGAAGATTATTTTCCCATAATGTTTATATCTTCAATTTCTTTCTAAACATTTGTGTAAATGGTATTTGAGTGTTGTTTTTTTTCTCCATTTTCAGAAAAATGGAAATTTCAGCTTCATTGAAACTTGCATTTACATGTATGTGCTATATTTGTGTTTGATGTTATTTTATCAATCTATTCTATTTTAGAACAATGGAAAATGAAACTCCATTACAACACGCAATAAAGCGCCACCTACCTGTGGTTGTAGAGGTTCTCTGTCAACGTGGCGTGGATATGAACATAACAGACAACAACAACAACTGTCCGTTGTGGCAAGCCTTAGATTCAGGACAAGAAGATATAGCCCATACCTTGGTAAATATTACTGAGACTTCACTTTATTTCTTTGGCATCAAATTTCATGGTCTTGTCACAAAGAACATTTTCGTGTGTTCTTAAATTTGTGAATTTTTTTTTTTCGAAAGTTTAATTGTAAATAATGTAATAATGTTTTATGGCTTTACACCCAATAGTTATTTTACTTATCAGTTACACAGTATATAAAAATCTGGAAAAGGGGTAATCCAAACAATTGAAGGAAAGTACATGCAAATTGTAGACTTGCAGACATACCCAAAATAAATCCTGTTTAAAGTGCAAAAGAATCATATTTCCTATAGTGTAACGCAAACATTAAGCGCGTCTTTACACTTTGTTTATATTGTGTAAATGATGTCACATCAAAATATATGAATGATAGTGCAATACCATTTTTATGGAGTCACAAAATTGTCATGGGTATGTGATAAACATGTATATTATAATTGTAGGTAAAACATGGCTGTGATGTAGATCTGTGGTTGTCCGGTCCTGGAAACTGTCAACAAACATTGTTACACCGAGCCATCGATGAAAACAATGAATCTGTAGCGTGCTTCCTTATTAGAAGGTAAAATTTCTGTGTCCATGGCAACTGTATTAGTTTGCTTAGTGGTCTAGTTTTGTTGTCTCCCTTTGTATAAATGTTGTTGGTTGTCTCTCTTTGTATAAATAATACAATCCTGTGTTAGTGTGTTGATTGCAGATTTGCTTTCTAATTCATTGAAGTCTTCATCGTTTAGAGATGGTCCAGAGCATATATTTTACTTTATTTAGAATTAAATATTGTTAATCTTGATTTAAATATTGATTTTCTTTAGATTAAATGATGTTTTTTATTCAGATTAAGTATTGTTGTTCTTTCAGTCACTGTGATAAAAACAGTCCTCGAAGACCAGGACCTGATGGTGAAGGTGGGGATGAGGCAAGGTTCGTCACTCTTGCTTATTCTTTTATAGTAATTTTATATTACAGACATGTATTCATTTCTTAAGTTAAGTTGTAAAGTGTTCAAAGCTGTAGTATGTAAAAGATGTGTGAAATGCAAGCATCCAATTGAGATTATCTTGGCACTCATTAGATACTGGCTATTGAAAACAGCCTTTTTTGAGAGTAGTTCTCATATATACATTGTGCTTCAGTGGATATTTAGATAAGAATGGCAAAATATTTTGTTTAAAGATATGACAAATTGATAAATTGTAAAGATTGTGGGATTGAAGTTTTGAGTGGAATGAAGATATTCATATCCTAGTCGGACTACGAATTCAGGTTAAGGTTCACCCGCTTGTCAGTTAATGACAGTATTGTAAAACTATGGTTTTCTGATCCGCCTCTACTCCAAACACTTTTACTTATGAAGGCAATATTCAGCTAGGTCTAGTGTATTGCACGGTAAAGAAAATGTTTATTTTTAAAATCTATAGTTTCTGTGCCTACAGATGTTTTCCAAAATAATACATAATAGTTATAGAAGTTAATGACTAGTACATGTATATTCCTAAAGGGTTTTCCCTTTGAGATTTGAAGGTGGTGGTTATATATAATAAATGTAACATATTAGGTTAATAACTTTTTTTGCAGAGATGGACAAACACCTTTGCATTTATCATGTGCCTGGGGACTGGAAATGGTTGTACAATGTCTTATGGAGTTTGGTGCCGAAGTGAATACTCAGGTTAGAAAAGATTTTATATTTTCATCTTGTTTAAAGTTATGATATGGGGGAGAGGGGTTCGGTATTTTTGTTTTACAATCAGCTTTTAAGTACATAAAGTTTTTACTTATTTGTACTTTGAGGGGCAATTTCTTCATGAAATTATGCATTTTCAAGCTACTTAAATTTACTTTCTCTTACTTTTAATAAGATGTAACTTCAATTATGAACTGTTCCATTCACAGATTTTTATTACTCTTTGTCTGTCTGTCTATCTATTTGTCGGCCTACTGACAACTCTTAGTCTAAGTTAGGCACTGCTATGTCTTTTCTATAAGCTAGAGTCTTAATACTCTTTGAGGTTTAAAAATGAGCTTGACTTCGCATATTTCTGACATTGAGTTTAATAGTCATTTGATTTCTCACAGCTGATTTAGAAATCAAGTTGAATAAGTAGACCAACACTTGGTAATTACTGGTTAGTTAACCATGGACCAATCTGTGAGATATATCTAAAAGAAAGTTAGAATCAAATAAGAGGGAGTGGTGACCTAGTGGTTAAGGGTTCTGCCTCTCAACCCAGGAATTGTGGGTTCGAGCCCTACTCAGGTCATGATCATGATTTCTCATATGATACCAGTAATGGTTTGTTCAAGGAAGAAGACTCGAAAGTGATAAATATAAGTTGCAAGAACTTGTTTTGCAATGAAGCTAAACTAAATCATGTGTTTAAACTTAAATCAGAATTAAAAAAAAAGAGACAAATAAACAAAATTCAATGTACTTGATAACATCTGGCTTTGTGCATTTTCTCTTATATCATAATTTAAATGTACATGTAGTAACATTATGATAATTTTTAATTTCTTACAAAGATTTTTATATACATTGTGATGTTTTTTTGTTAAATTTAATTTAGGATGTGGATGGAAAAACACCAGTCCATATTGCCATAGAAAATCAGCATACTGTGATAATCTCCCTTTTACTCTCACATCCAAATCTTGATCTTAACTTACGAGACAAGAATGGACTCACCCCATTTGCAGCTGCCATGACAACTAAGAATAATAAAGCGGCACAGTCTATTTTAAATAGGGAGCCGAAAGCCGCAGAACAAGTAAGAATATTTGTGATACAGTCTAAGTTCATATTTTGATTTTATCGTGTTAACCTGCAAATTTTCTTAAATGGACTTGTTCATGTTTCATTCTGGGCAAAACCATTCAGTATTTAGAAGGAAAATTTTCAAACAATATACTGACTGAAAAGCAAACAGTGCAGACCATGAACAGTTGGTACAGATGTGTCAGCTTGCTGATCTTGGTCTGCACTGGTTACATGAGTAGTATTAGTTGCTGCTAGAAAGGTAAGAGTATAAAGTTGTATTTTTTTTTGGTTGTCTGTTTTTGATAGAAGAGAATATTGGTTTGTATGTTGGTAAAAATCATACCTTGAAAGAATGATGACCTGTTTTATAATATATAAGATATGGCAGGGTGTGTCATTAAGCCAATAACAAATTACAAATTTCTGACAAATAAAGTATGACAGCAGTAAAACTTAATTATTAATTTATTACTGTTATTACATACGTTTGCATAGCTCCACAATGTGTGGATGCTGCCTCCTAGGGCCTCAGTCTTGGTTTTAGAAGTATATAGAAAAGATATCTAGAAAGGATGCATATTTATACCAGTTAACTGCATTTTCATGTAGTGTAAAAATCAACAATGGAGCATGAAATTCACAGTCGGCAACTTTTGATTCTTTGATGTGGGGAAGTGAAACCTTGCGCAATTCTCCACCAGCTAAGCTGTAAAAGTCCTATATGACCTAAAAAAATCAACACAACCCCTGACATGATGATGTAAATGCCACATGCACTTCAGGTGTGGAGCCTTAAAATGCAAATAAATTGTATATTTGTCAGTCCTAGCTCCTAAATGTATCTATATATTTATATATGTGAAAAAAATCATATTTTACATTGTACATTTTAGACATTGAAATATTTAGAATTATTTTTCACCAATATTTTTCTATTCTTTTTTAGGTAGACAATAGAGGTAGAAATTTCTTACATGTAGCCATAATGAGCAAAGACATTGAAAGTGTACTGTTCTTAATAAGTGTTCACGCTAACGTTAATTCTCGTGTACAAGATTCCAAACATTTATCTCCGTTACATCTAGCTGTAGACGTCGGCACTGAAATCATTGTTCGAAATCTAGTATGTATTGTTTTTATATCTATTTTAGATAGCTTTCGAAAAACAAACTTATACAATGCTCTGTTTTTCAAAATGCTAATTTTGTTTTAATGATAGGGCTCCTCTTTTAACAATTAACACCGATTTGGGATTAAGGCCATTGACTTCAAACCACTTGCCCCTCACAGCTGTAGGTTCCAATCCCAACAGAGATTTCGAATTCTTTCATGTGAGGAAGCTATCCAGCTAGCTTAAGGAACCTTAGTGACTCTACTCAGGTGCCAGTTTGTACCTGAATTAATGCTTGGAAGGGTACCTGAGTAAAGCTTGAATGTCTCCATATGAATTCTTAATTAGATAAGGCAGTCTGCCCAATAAGCTCAATAGGGGAGAGCAATGGAGTAGTAATCCGGAAATCACTGGTTCAATCCTTTCAATGAGCCTAAATTTCTACATGATAATTGATCTCAGATATTGAGTCTAATGATCATTTAACATTTGACTTTCATTGCTGATTCTAAAATCATGTGAGATTAGTATTTGGTCACTTCTAGAAAAATTGGTATTTACTGGTTATGGTAGTTATTCAGAAAAGAAGTTAAGGTGGACAAAGCAGCAAGATAACACCAAAAAATATGTTAAAATGGGCATTAAAAGAAACCAAATAAATAAACTAACAACCACCCCCTCAAAAAATAAATAAAAAATATAGCTTTATATAAAGATATTATGGATAGAACAAACAAAAAACATGATGTAGATTTATTCTTTTTTTAATTAACACTGAAAAATAATTTTTTTTTATATATATTTTGTAGTTATTAGCTGGTGCGGATGTTAATGCCAAGACGAATAATAAACAAACGGTGTTACATATAGCGGCCAGTAAAGATCATTCTGTAATTTGTACAATATTATTGGAGAATGGCGTGGACTTTGATGCTGTTGATGACAACTTAGATAATGGTATGTCAGTGCTTTTTTATGCTTGTCCAAAACAAAAATATATGGAGAACGTTTTAACTGTTTACCTGCTGAATTTCTTTAATGGACATGTCTGTCTTTCATATTAGGAACCCTCCATTATCAGTTTTAGGGATATAAAGATAAAAATTTAAGAGTTATCAGGAAACAGTTTTGGGCCTTTTTCAGACTGGACTTGGTCTATACTGATAGCAAAGGTTCCATCACTTTTGATCCCAGCAGGGTTACTGTAAATTTGCTTTATTTTGTGGGCATGCATTTCATGTTTTTTGTGTCATAGAACATTGGCCTCTTAAATTAGTGGACTGTTTATTTATCTAAGAGGTAAAAATGTAAATAATGTGATGCAAAATAATCTTACAGCAGACAAAATAAAATTGTGTTGAATTTTAAATTTGTGTATTGACCTTTACACGAAAACCATGAAAATTAGTCCCCCCAGAAATAGCCACTTTGTCCTTTCATCAATCACATTTACTGTTTCTCATATTGTCTTTCTGTAATGACCAATATTATAGATGCATTTGTTATCTGAACAGAAAAGGATTAGCCTTTACCACCAGTATAGAGGTAGGACAGCCTGCATGTCATTGCATTCTTACCAGGCTTTATACTGTTGCTTGAATAACTTTAAAGTTTGATCTTGATATCCCCAAAATTAATAATTGACAGTTCCAAAAATGGAAGCTGGACAAGTCCATTTATGAAAGTCAGCAGATTGAGGGATAGGTACCTTGAATGACTCATTGAATGAGCTCAACCATTAAGAAGGATTCTAACTTGATTGGTTTAATGTCAAGGTTACTGAAGCAAAAATGGATTTTTAAATTGACTAATTTTATAAACACATTGGAAATAATTGATGGAAGTTTTGAATAAAAATATTATCATTCCCCTTCAGTTTGCTTTTGATAATTCTGGACTGGAAAACAGTTATAAAACCAGTTATTTCCCCATTTCTGTGATCAAATTGTGTCCATTTCATAATTGTTTGTTATTTCTGAAAAAATTTATTTTTCATAGCTGTAAAACATATTTTCGATATTTTCACTGGTGTCTTGCTGGTGTACTTTCTTCTAAATTCAGCCAATACAAAGTATATCAACTCTTAAGGTTAAAAAAAAACAGAAAAGGTATATGATAAACATAAAGTTCAAGTATGGGATTTCTTTTCAATTTTTTATCTCATAAAAATGAAATCCATATCTATTGTAAAAAACTTGAATATCCTCTCTATGTATTTTTGTTGTATACAATACCATTTATTCAACAAGAAAGATACGTGGTGTCAACTTAAGAAAAGATTGAGGGTTGTTATCTATACTGATGGCTATGTTTATAATCATATAGATCTCCGACAAAATAATAGCAAGCTCGGAGAGCTGGCCCAAAGGTCCTCCTTGCAAAGCAAGCTTGACTATAACACGAGTACCAGCTTGATGGTGATGGTTTTGAAAACTTAATACTGAATTGACACATCACAGATTTTCCAATTACATGATAACGATAAAAGCCGAGAAATTCTGTTTGAAAATGGAGGCGTAGACTAGTGTCCTTGGCACTTTTATAGGACAGGAAAACCAAAATAAATGGAAGTAGTGTATAAAATACCGAATGACAGTTTTAAAACTGAAAATGTAAAATAAAAATTAACAATCATTTATACTATTTGACAGTAAAAGTAAATGAAGCTCGCTTTGAGGCTTTGCCTTTTTATCCCCCGCCGAAAACTTTTAGGCGGGGGATATAGAAATAGTCTCCGTCCGTCCGACCTTCCGTCCGTCCGTCTTTTCGTCCGACATTTTTGTCCGGAGCATATCTCTAAAAGTATTTGAGTTATCAACTTGAAACTTCATAGGTGGATAGACCTCATTTAGGAGGTGTGCAGTGCACAAGAATGATAACTCTACCTTTCATAATTTTTTAGTTATTGCCCTTTGTTATTTTTCTTACTTAATTTTTCACCTGAGTGAATCATAACTCAAAAAGTGTTTGAGATATCAACATGAAATGTCATAGGTGGATAGATCTTATTGAGGAGAAATGTTGTGCGCAAGAATGATAACTCTTCCCTATACAATTTTTGAGTTATTGCCCTTTGTTCTTTTTCATGCTATTTTGTCCAGAGCTTATCTCAAAAAGTATTTGAGGTATCAACTGGAAACTTCATAGGTGGATGGATCTCATTGAGGAGGAGTGCAGTGCTTAAGAATGATAACTCTACCCTGCATAATTTTTGAGTTATTGCCCTTTGTTATTTTTCAAAATTAATTTTTGTCCAGAGCATAACTCAAAAGGCCTTTGAGATATCATTATGAAACTTCATAGGTGCATAGATCTAATTCAGGAGGTGTGCAGTGCACAAGAATGATAACTCTACCTTTTATAATTTTTGAGTTATTGCCCTTTGTTATTTTTCATACTTAATTTTTCAATTCAATTTTTTTCTCAAAAAGTATTTGAGGTATCAACTTGAAACTTCATAGGTGGATAGATTTTACTGAGGAGGGATGCAGCCAACAGGAATGATAAATACCCTGCATTATTTTTCAGTTATTGCCCTTTGTTATTTTCAGCCATCAGTATTCACATAGGTTTCAAATCTGTAATCACTATAGCCATCAGTTTTCATTATCAAAAGACCTCTTAAAATGGAATTATTCTGCTCTACTACATATACATTTTTCCAATGAGCAAACACATTCGGCGGGGGATGGCCATGTTGACATGGCTCTTGTTCATATTATTAAGGGAAAATAATATTGTCACTGTAATAATTTGTAAAACTATCTTGTTTTCAGCCCTACATTTAGCTGTAAAGAATGGAAACTTGAACAGTGTGCGTGTCTTACTAACAGAATCTAGTATTAATGCTGAAGCTGTAAATGCCAAGTAAGTAGCAGTATTTTATGTGCTTGCAGATTAGTTTATTATCCCCCCCCCCCTTCGAAGAAGAGGGGGTATATTATTTGCTAATGCCCCCCCTCCCTTGCTAGTGTCAATCTGTCTGTCTTTCGGTCTGTCCATCAGTAGACAACATGGTTTCCGCTGATTATCTTGAAAACTATTTATCACACAGTCTTCATATTTCACATACTGATTGGTCATAAGTAGTAGATGACCCCTATTGATTTTGGGGTCACTATGTTAAAGGTCAAGGTCACAGGGGCCTTAAATGTCAAAATGGTTTCTGCTCATTATCTTGGTTACAATTCATCACACAGTCTTCATATTTCACATATTGATTGGTCATAACTAGTAGATGATCACTATTGATTTTGGGATCACTAGGTCAAAGGTAAAGGTCACAGGGGCCTTGAATGGTAGTATGATTTCCACTTATTGTCTTGATTACTATTTATCCCAAAGTCTTCATATTTGTAATATTGATTGGTCATAACTAGTAGATGACTTCTATTGATTTTGGGGTCACCAGGTCAAAGGTCAAGGTCACAGGGTCCTTGAATGTTAGTATGATTTCAGTTCATTATCTTGAAAAATGATTATCACAAAGTCTTCATATTTCACATAGTGATTGGTCATATCCAGCAGATGACCTGTTTTGCTTTTGGGGTCACTATATCAATGTCAAAGGGGCCTTAAATGTCAGAATGGCTTTCATTTATTATCTTGAATACTATTTATCACAAAGTCTTCATATTTCTAATATTGATTGGTCATAACTATTAGATGACCCCTATTGATTTTGGGTCACTAGTTCAAAGGTCAAGGTCACAGGGGCCTTAAATGTCAGAATGGTTTCCATTTATTATCTTAAAAATTATGTATCACAAGTCTTCATTATTTTTCTTTTTTCCATAATTGAACACTTCCTTGTACCCATTTATGGCAAGTTTCTATAACAAAATTACCAATAATTAGAGTCAAGGGCTAGAAAGGGGGACATATGTGTCGGTCAACATTTCTTGTTATTCAACTGCTGAGCTTCATAGGTGGAGTATCTGATCCAGGAGTTGCGGGTTTGATCCTCAGCCGAGGTTTAATTTCTCGGTGACAATTGATCTCTGGCATTGAGTCTAATGGTCATTGGTCATTAGAAATTATATAGAAATCATGTCGGATTAATAATTGGTCAGTTTTGGAGAAATTGGTAGTACCTGTTTAGATATCAAAGAAAGCCAGTTAGGTGGACTGACATCCAAGATGTGACCAAAAATATGTTAAAGTCTGCATTAAAACCAACTTGTCAAACCCCAACCATGCACATGATACATGTTAAAGGGGGTGAATAGGGGGGGGGGGGGGAGGTATGTGCCACTTTAACATTTAACTTAGCACTATTTTCTGTATTATATTTTATATATCTGTCTCACAACATTGACTTTAATGTGTGTCCAAAAGTTTAAACTAGGGTGTCAGTTCTAGGTTTTCATCATTTTATATTTCAATCAAATTGGAACTACTAGTATGTTAACTATTTACTTAAAATAAAACCATATCATTTTAGACTCTTTACTGATATAAAATGTCTTATTTGAGACATTTAAAAAAAAACTGTTACATACGGGAAGTTGTAGGTAAATTAGCATTATGAACATGAACAGAAAAAAGGTATTGTTTTGAAAATTGAAATAAAAACATCACTGTGCATGACTTTAAAGCTGCACGCCTCCAGATGAGCCAAAATATTTCAAGAAAATCAATATTGAGAAAAATGTATGAAAATTTTAAGAAAAGTAAAAACATTCAAGATCCAAATTATATTTTACATGTTATGTGTGGTTTAAGACTGACTTTGCAGTATTTTATTACCATATTTCTACTGTGTTACAAACGCAATAAGGGCCGATTTTGCAAATATTTACCACATTTTGGTAATTTTCTTGGATTGTTTAAAGGCCAATTGCAATATATAATTACTTTTTTTTATCACCTCACAATATTTTACTTTGAAATACATTTCCAAAATGTTCATGAAAAGTAACATGAACCTGGAGGTGTGCTGCTTTAAAATGACGAGAAAAAAATGATTATGTGCCACTTGGCTACCTGTACGATGTATTACAAACAGAAAAATTATGTGAAATAATTGGAATATGTGAAAAAAATTTAATTACTGAAATAAAACGCCTGTTAGTCTGATGTAAATGTTTTGAATAACAATGACTGGGTAAACTAGGTTTCAACCCAATCTGTTTACATTTTACCACAAGGTAGTATGTGCTCATTTCTTTACAAAACTAATTAAAAGCTAATTTATGGTATTTTTGACATTCCGGTGTCAAAAAGGTAAATATCATAAAATATTGATGACTCAAATTACAGAATTATTTGAATGAAAATTTGAAATGATATTTTTTATTTACTTCAAACTGTCAACCATAAGGTGATTTTAAGTCTCAATTTACATCTTACCAATAATTGACTGAAGTTTCTGTTTACATTGAACCAATTAAAGTATACTTCAAAATAAGCATTGTCCTCTTTTTAAGATTTCTGTCTTCAAACAGATTTAATTATAATACTATTTATATCACAAAGATTCCCAGTATTCATGGTATTGTTATTTAAAAAAATTAAAAAATTAAAAAAAAAAGTTATTTATTAAATCACAGATCACTGTGATCACTGAAATAATAATGGATAGATCACAATTTGATATCACTGCCCTTCAAATAACAAAGAATAGTTCCCAATTTTGATATAGTTCCATTAAACAAAATGGAAAAAAAACTGTTGCAATCATTGTGATATTAAAAAAAAAGAAATAGAATGAATGAATGAATGAATGAATGAATGAATGAATGAATGAGTGATAGAACAAAGAAAAAAAGAAAGGAAGAAAAAAAAGAATAAAGAAAAGAACAAACAAGCAATCATATGAATGAATGATCATATGAATGAATAAATAAATTAATTAAATTAATTAATTAATTGATTAATTAATTAATTAGTTAATTAATCATTCAATCAATAAATCAATCTATTCAATTAATTAATTAATCAATCAATCAGTAGAAAGATAATAAATAAATAAAAACTATGTTATGAAGAAAGTAACAGTGGTTTGAATATCAAAGAGAAAGAGATGAAAAAATGGAGAGTAGTGATAAAATAATTTTTTTTTAAAAATTAAAGGGAAAAATATGTGTTATCGTGAATTTTAAATTGGTTGATTCTGATGGAAGGTAAGTTGTAATGAAATGAATTTCCTTTGCTTTGTAATTGTGATTTCAAATTAATTACTAATTACACCTCCAAGAGAATGTAACTGAAATGGGTTCAATTTCCATTTCACCTGAACAGATCTTATCCCTATTATTTCATAGAAATTGATAATAAATCCTCACATATCTGCTTATTATCCTGCAGTTCTTAATTATTATGTCATCAATGTTTTCAATTAAATTTTGTTTGAAATTTGAAATTTTAAGCCTGCTTCCAAAGCCCATGGTTTTAAGCCCCTTTTATTCTCTAATAATAAAAGACATAGCCACCACCAATGTTGCTACTTTTAATGGGAAAATAAAAGTTCAAACAAAATGTCTCAACAGTTTTTGATTAAAAGTAAACATTATAGTGAACTATTATTGTTTGCTTTATTCTTTGTTTATAATTAAACACTGTTTAAATTCTAAAAAGTCAATAAATAAAATAAAAAGATTGAAATTAAACATTTTAGAAACATTTGTTTGAGAGACAGAGAGAAATAAGGCTGGTTTCCTAATTGGCATTTAATATGACCCATTTAATGTAAACATAATTCATATTATTGTATGTTTTGATCAAACAGTACATATTTTTTTTGTAAATAGATATTTCCTAATTTCCTAAGGTATATCGATAAAGCAATAAGGCATTTAAGGTACGAAAACTTGATATCAAACTTGATATCTCTAATGTCACTAGTTGTTACTGCTGAAAAGTGTCCGCAAAAGTCAGATATTCTTTTGTCCGGAAGAAATAATTGGCTATTTAAGATGTATGTAATAAATTCAAAATAGATGATAAAGAAGGTTATTAACAATGAAAGAAATTGATTGATGGCACATAATTGAATTTCGTTCGTCCCGAAGACATGTTATAAATTTGAACGTAAAGTTTAATTGTTGATTATTGTTAAAATTTAACAACAGGACTACACATTGTTAAAATTTAAGGACAGGACTTCAGCTTTAATTTATTTCTTAACCATTACTGTAATCATACAAATTTCAAGATTAAAATAAAGGGACGTGGAATAACAAAATAAATACCATACCAAAATTACAGAGAAGACAATGATGCAGAAAACTTTGCTTGTAAGTGTTTGGATATTTTTGGGTGCCGATATTTTGTGTTTTGTGAGCGGCTTTTCAAATGTTACACACTCTACAACAACGTCGTACTTTGTAACATTACAAAACTTGTACAAAAGCAACAGCAGTAATAATGTAACTCTACAGGACTTTATCCCAAAGCTTTATACTGAAAATGCAATGCAGGTACAATTTGACATAGAATTGTACGCTTTGAACGACTTTGACGAAGTATCTGGGTCGTTGGATATAATGCTCGGTTTCAATATGTCATGGTTTGATGAGATAGTGTTCTGTAATGGATTGACAATGGAACAAGCGTTTCCATTGGATACTGATATAGAAAGGCTTAAAGTTCTTCATGTTCCACATGGAACAATCTGGACACCTAATTTGATATTGCTAAACTCGGTCGAGTCAATGGAGAATGTCGGAGGCGTAGCATTTAAGCAACGGTTTAACTTAGAAACAGGAGAGGTGAAATGGAATCCAATTGTTAAAGTTCACAGTGCCTGTTCACCAGATGTGACATACTACCCTTTTGACAGACAGATCTGTCGATTTACTTTCAGATCTTTGGGATATTCAGGGTACGAGTTGTATTTTGATCCATATAAAAGTACATGGGGCATGAGTTCCTATGAGGAGAATGGGGAATGGACTTTGATTGACACAAAAACGGAGACCTCTGGCTCTTTTTCTGATAATGAGCCAACTGTTACTTTGACGTTAACTATTCAACGAAAGCCGTTATATTTTGCGTTCAATATTATTCTACCTATACTGGTTCTTGTTATCCTAAACGGAATGGTTTTCTGGTTGCCAGTCGAATCCGGGGAACGTGTGGGATTTTCGGTGACTTGTTTTTTGTCATTTGTAGTTCTTTTGAACATGATCATGGACATTCTTCCAAGATCCTCCTCGCCGATCGCATATCTTTGTTTCTATACCGTTTCGATGATGATATTTAGCGGACTCAATACGGGATTTGTCATTCTTCAAATGAAACTTTACCATAAACCGGACACAGAGGAAGTTCCACGATGCATTGTCGTTTTTATAAAGTTCCTGAAGTGCAAATACATTAGAGATAAGAAGATATCTTGCTCTTGCTTAAAAGGAGGTGACAAAATTCACTCTGAAAATGACCTGAAAGTAAAAGATATTGACTCGGATAGTGAAATGGACTTCAAAGATAAAACTGAGAGTGAAGCGGAAATCACCTGGCAACAAGTTGCTAGCATTTTGGATAAATTTTTCTTTCTTGCATTCTTGGGTGTTCAAATGTTTTTCAGTATGTGTTTTCTTTTGCCCATTGGGTCAAGGGCTTAAAGTTAAAAAAAACAACTCTTTATTTAGATAAATACTTTAAAGTGAATTGGTCTATTATTTGGTCTATAATGGGACGTCTGTAATGCAATGAAAATTACATATCAACTTTAACAGCAAACTAGGAAAGAATTAAAAAAAGTGTAACCAGATGTTTTTGGCAAGTGAGAGTTACATGATCCCATGTAACATACATTATATATTGATATAGCAGATAATAAAGTGTTCTGGAACAAAAAATTATAATTCATTGTAGTTCATACCTTAACTGTGTAAAATTTGTATGGGATTAATACCTAACTGTGTAAAACTTTATCAATTTTTACTTTGTATACTGTGATTATTAAAAGTTTGTAAATTCCTTCCCTTTTTTAACAAAAATCAACAACATCTTTTTCCTTATTGTTGGTTACATTTTTGTGTTTAAAAAGTAAAAAAATCAATAGGAAATGAAGGAATCATGTTGCACTTTATTTAAATAAAAATTGAAAAAATGAAAATGCTTTATTTATTTCAAACTGTCAACAAAAAAGTGAGCGAGGTCTCTGCAATTTAATCCAGATACATGCATGTACTTCTTGCTTCACTAAGCAAGGTCGGGGCTAATCAGTGGCCTCCTCAGCACTGACTTGTCATCCAGTTTTGGTCCAAGGTGTATTCTTTTATGTGAAGTAAAATTACAAGTCATTTAAAATCAGTGCTGCCCATACATATATGTATATGAAGAGTTGAATTAATTCAAAGACTTTGGAAAAATTTATGATTCTTCTAAGTGTTTTAATGTTAATTGTCTTTTTGATTAATTGGTTTATTATACAGGTATAAAAAATATATTACTAGAATTTTTCATTTTCAAATATTAAAATTAATTTTCAAACAGAGCTTGCAATTACTGCTACGTCTAAAGTTTTTCACAAAACAAATTTGTCCAAACCTTTATCTAATTGTACACACATCACGAAAAAATTATTTTCAGTTCCGTCAAGTCAAAACTCCTCAGTGGAGTCCCTTTAACTTAAAATAACTTTTCATTTGTATTTTTTTTTAATCCATGAAAGTTAATGAAATAGACAAAAAAAAATTTTGAACAGTGATGAGAATATTTGAAGAATAAATGGAATTAAATGTAATAGATATCATTATTTTCAAAGTGTTTGAGAGTCGAGAACAGTAATTTAATATTGATTGAAATAGTTATTTCGGCACAGAACTGGTAATTGTTTTTCTATTGATTACCCAATCTTTAAGTGTAATTGTTATTTGATTGGTACTTAAACTATTGGAACTGTATTTATCTTTGTGGTGGGTATTATGATAGAGTCTGATTGATTAAATAATTATATGTCATAATAAAATTATTACCGACAAATTATCACTGAAACAATGTATATCTATCACGTACATTTGAGCCGCATCATGACAAAACCAACATAATGGGTTTGCGACCAGCATGGATCCAGACCATCGGCGCAGTCTGATTAGGATCAATGCTGCTCGCTTACAGACCCAATAACAAGTCAAGAAACGCAGGCTGGTCTGGATCCATGCTGGTTGCAAAGCCATAATGTTGGTTTTGTTTTGACGCGGCTCTTTTGTGAAACACAAATTAATGTTAAACTATTACTTGGACATGCATTCATATTAAATCAAATTTCTGGTTGATCTCAAGACATATAATAATTTAACACAGTGTAACCCATGAAAGTTCAATATTGGACAAAGAACTTTAATTTCCAATGGGGTCCTGGTCAACAGTCTTACGTTAGGCTCTGCACTGTTGGTAAACCAATTTTTACATACCTATCATATATATTAAAAATGCTTAAATTTTGAATGGACTGTTCCAAATTCAAAATGGTAAGAATCCAGTGCACAGAGCCTGCACAGTGGGTTTGGGATTAATGGACCTTTCCAGTTTTTAGTAGTGAAAAGTTTAGCCCCGTCTTTCAAAATTATAAACTGCTCACAAATAGTAATCAAAAGAAAGCCATGTGTTGTTTCCTTGAGCAAAAAAATAATCACTCATTGCCCAGTACTGGTTGACTTTTCTATTACATCCTGCTAGATATAGGGAATTTTAAAGTAAAAATCTAGTTGTCACCATTCCTTAAACATTATTATATAATTATTATATAATTGGCAGAACATCATGTTACAGCTAGTTTAATTCAAACAGTAGTAAAAATGTAAAATTATTTAAAAAACAAACAAACAAATAAAACAAAAAACAATTGGGTACATTGTTAATAATTACATAAAAAACTTGTGCAGAATTGCCCCAGTAATGCTTTTATCTTTATTTCTTGAAAGCTGTTTTCCTTGTGGGTTGTTTTGTGGTTTTATTAAAGTAGCCACAATTTTACTTGATTCTTTTGCTTCTTTTGATTCTTTTGCTTTGTTGGCAATTAATACAGTTATATTGATTTAGTTCTTTGTAGTGAAGTTGTTACTTTAATGACAAATAATTTCTTAGACCACAGCTGTTTTTTCTCGGCCAATCAGAGTAGTTTAAAAGTGTTTGATATATCCCACACATCACAGTAAAGTGTTTGATATAACTATTATGTTTGTATTCAACTGAAAGAAAAACCCCGTTATGTGCACGCTTTATGCGGGGAAAATTTATATGTATATAGTAAAGTTCAAATTGTAATTCCCTTCTTAAAAATTAACAGATAGCAATAGTCCTTTGACCAATTTATTTCGTCAGTTCATCATTTTACAAGAATAGTTACTGTATTTGTAAATAAGAAGAAACAAGCAATAATGAAATGAAATGCGTTTGTCGAATCTATTTAAATCTATATATGTAACTACATTTAACGACCGCTTTTTTACTTAGATGTACATTCATTTTCGGTTTGGGAAGAGGGGATTCCACTGGTTGGCAGGGGGGTGGGGTTTCCGAACGGTGACTGGGCTGAGGTTGCAACGCTAAGGCAATGTTATGCTTTAAGGCTTCAGAGGGACGTTTGGAATATTTTTTCAGTTCATGAATGAGATAAAAAGGCCAATGCAGGATGTATATAAAGCATACAACAAAAACACAATTCTATATGTCAAGTAAAATATTTTCAACTTCAGCCGGACAATTAGCCAATAAATATCCTGAACCCTAGGGTTGTTTAAGCATTAAGGAAAACGTTTAATGAAAGTTACCTGCCCGTTTCTCCAAGAGCCCACTCTTGAAAAGCAGCCATCGCCCATGATTTCTGTCTAAGAGTATTTTTCGGTAAGCAGTTTTGCTTATTGACTTCTTATTCAAGTGCTGTGTACAGTGTTATTTCATTAAATCATTTAAATGAAGAATCAACAGGAATAACAACAAAATCTCTCAACTTGCAAAATTGTAATAATATCACATTCAGAAATATTTCTTCTTCTGACTGCACCTTGTGATGGAATGTGAAATCTATCATTCATAAGATTGTGTATTCAGTAACTTATGAAAGAACATGAATTATGCCATTTTCTTGTGTGCTTTTTTTGCCTACAATAAGGCCAAATAGATTGAATAAGAAATATTTGGATGTCCCTTTGTAATTGTCGGAGAAAAAATCGTTTACGCATGTTAAATCTTCACCTTAAACAGAGAAAACTACATGTGGTCTAAGTCAGATAGATCGCTCGTACCAGTTGGATGTGAGATTTATCAACTCGCTTCGCTCCTTGATAAATCTCACATCCAACTGGTACGGATGTGAGATTTATCAACTCGCTTCGCTCCTTGATAAATCTCACATCCAACTGGTACTCATGATCTATCCTATACATATTCAGTGCTACTTTCTTCTGTTGATACTACTTTAAAATCTGATCACTAAAACATCATAAAACACATGAAAGACCATTTCCAAAGAAGGAAACATTTAGTTATTTCTGAGGCATCATTGTGGCTATAAATAGGTCAGTGGAAGTATTGTTTCCTTTGTCAGAAAGAGTTAATCAGGCATTTCATGTGGGTGTTAAAAATTAAACCATTATAATATTATGAAGGAGGGTATTAAAAGTGATTAATGGTATATAAATAAATTTATTTCTTCTAAAGGACAGTCACTGATTTGAGCGTAAGTGTACTTGTAGACAATTGAAATATTTTTAAAACTACTGAATTTGACTTAATTATTTCTTTTAAGACCAGTATATTTAAATTTCAAGATTAAAAGAGGCAAGGAGAAAATTAGAAAAGATGATGCTGAAATCTTTGCTGTTTAATGTTTGGATAATCTTGTGCTCAGACTTTTTGTGTTTTGTAAGCAGTTGGAACGTGACACACACAAATATTACGTCGTACTATATGACGCTGAAGGATCTGTACAACAAGAGTACTAGCAACACCAGTGGTAGCGTACCTATGCAGGACTTTATCCCGAAGCAGTATCCAGAAGACACAATGAATGTTCAACTTGACATTGAATTGTACTCCTTGAACGACTTTGACGAAGTATCCGGCTCAATTGATATAATGCTCCGATTCAACATGTCATGGTTCGACGAGATAGCCGCCTGTAATGGTATGGATATGGATGATGCATTTCCATTGGATCGTTCAACGCCAGATAGGCTTAAATGGCTACAAGTTCCCCATGGAACTATCTGGACACCTTATTTGATATTGTTAAACTCGGTTGATTCATTGGAAAATGTCGGAGGTATGGCGTTTAAGCCAAGGTTTAATCTAGAAAGGGGACAGGTGAAATGGAACCCGATCATTAAGGTTCCCAGTGCATGCTCTCCGGATGTGACATACTATCCTTTTGACAGACAAATCTGCCGATTTACATTTACAGCTTGGGGCTATACAGGGTATGAGTTGTACTTCGAACCGTTTAAAAGTACATGGGGAAATGATTCATATGAGGAGAATGGAGAGTGGAGTTTGATTTATACAAAAACCGAGACCTCGGCCTCAAATTCTGATACTGAACCAACAATTACTTTGACGTTAACTATTGAACGAAAGCCATTATATTTTGCGTTCAATATTATTCTACCCATACTGGTTCTTGCTATCCTGAATGCATTGGTGTTTTGCCTGCCCATTGAATCTGGTGAGCGTGTCGGATTTTCTGTGACGTGCTTTTTGTCATTTGTCGTTCTGTTGAATATGATCATGGACATAATGCCACGTTCTTCTTCACCGATGGCATATCTTTGTTTCTACACCGTTTCGATGATGATATTTAGTGGACTCAATACAGGATTTGTCATTCTTCAAATGAAACTATACCATAAACCGGACACAGAGGAAGTTACACGATGCATTGTTGTTTTTATAAAGTTCCTAAAGTGCAAATACATTAGAGATAAGAAGAAATCTTGCTCTTGCATAAAAGGAAGGGACAAAATTCACTCTGAAAATGACCTTAAAGTGGAAGAAATTGACTCAGATAGTGTAATGGACTACACGGATATGGCTGAAGGTAAAGCGGACATCACCTGGCAACAAGTTGCCAGCTTTTTGGATAAATTCTTTTTTCTTGCATTCTTGGGTGTTCAGATCTTTTTCAGTATGTGTTTTCTCTTGCCCATTGGAGCAAGAGCTTAAAAGTCTAAAACTAATGTTTACTGAAAAAAGAAAAACAGAAGATTTTGGGTCAAATTTTCATGAACACATTTTTATGCATCACTGTTGTAACTCAAAGATGCTCAGTACTGAGGTCAAAACCTTTTGTATTTGTTTCCCTTAAAAATGGAGGGAAAAAATGAAAAAAAGGATAAAAAAGATGACATGGCCAAATTAGCCTGAATAATGTGTAAAAAGCATTTTAATGCTTTTCTTTTCAGGTCACTTTTCAAAATAAAAATGATTATTCTGGAAAAACCAGTTTGAACAAATGATATAGAATTTTGCAAAAGGTTTTTGGTGTAGACCCACATTAAATGGTAGCAATGAAAATGTATATTAAAAAAAAGATCCAGTCTTGCCATATAGAACAAAACAAGGAAACCCATTAAAGTGCCAGTAACTTGTCTTTATTAGTTCATTTCTAAACCGCATTTTTCTAGTACTTTATTGTGCAAAATTGCAAAAAAATGAAAAGCCTTGCAATGCTGTCAAATTGGGCTATGAATTTCACACAAAAAAAGAATTTCAATTTAATTCTGAGCATGTTTCTTAATTTTCTTTTGCAGGTTTTTCCATAAAGTATTATCTTAATCTGTGAAAGAATTTCACATTTTATATTTTTATGCTTTTTGACATTAGTGAAGCTGATGAAGGTAAAAGAATGAAAAATGAAATCAATATTCAAATATTTTAATTTGCAAATTGTTGGAATATATTAATCTCCTATTTCATTTTGGCGAATTTGTTGTTTATCTGAAGATTGGTTTTCAGGTGGTTAAAGTTTAATTTTTCCTTCATTCTGTATGTATCATAATTATAATTGTGGTTATCACTTTCATAAAGTGGTTTTATTTTTACAATGCAGTTTGAATACCACTTAAGAATAGCAATGTTGGGATGTCTGTACAATGATATATATTGGAATCCGAATTTTGTTACATTGAAATCTGAATTTGGTGTATTTAAATCTGAATTTTGATGTCTGGAAGTTATTTAAGTTAATAAAAGCCCTCCTTTTGCAGAAAAACAGACAGAGAAAGAAAAAGTTGGGTAGGGGAGGGATTGAAGTTTGCTTTGATACTATTATCTTTGTTATATAATTAAACAGATGTATAAAGTACTAATGTTCTCATTGTGTTTTATATATAAATGTGTTAAGTGTTTGGTGTTATGCAATAAAACATAAACAAACTTATTTTGGACTTTTGTTTTGCATTTAACCTCTTTACTTTTGAATAATAGAGATTATTAAGGGCAATGTTATTGTTTAAATAAAAGTGCAAATAATTATAGGAATTAAAAAATAAGTAATATAAATTTAATAGAGATTAATTTAGAGAAGTGTCAGGTGTTTTAAGAACAAAACACATTGTAATAGGATAAGATTTAGATTATTGCAGATGTTAACTTTGAAATAAGGGTTTAATAAATGTGACGTCATGAAAATTTATGGTTGTTAAAGCTGCATGGCTGCAGATTAGACAAAATATTGCAAAAAAATCAAACTTGAGAAAATTGTTACAAAGTTTTAAGAGAGGTGAAAAACATTTGATTAATAATTCATATGTTACATGCGATTTAAATGACTGATTTAGCAAGGATCACTATATTTGTACTGCATGACTTAAGTTCTGCATATTTTGACCTCTTTTTAATAATATACATGAGTTATAATTGCCACTTGCAATGTGTAATCACTTATAAATTCTTTGTTCACTTTGCAATATATCACTTTCAAAAACATTTAAAGCATTTTATGAAAATAAGCTTAATGAATCAAGAGGCATACAGCTTCCAAAGATTGATTTATCCAAAGATCGATTTATGTAACATAAAAATTCCAATGAGAAAACAAGAGAACCTATAAACTATGACAAATCTCCATACTGCAGATAACTTAATTGCAATCATCTTACAATTCATACACTAGAAAAAAATAGTTCTTCTATCAATTGTACATTATTTATAAATGTGAACCCAAATAATTGTTGGTTTTCATATTACAAGTTTAAAAACATTGCCAATGGCGATAAGATGACCCCTTTCAATTTTAGGTCATTAGGTCAAAGGTCAAGGACCTTAGGTCATAAAATCCATGTAGTCATCAGTTAATTGTCAATCTGTGGCCAATCAGTATCTTAATTGGGAAATAAATTAACTTCAGTTTTTTAACCTAAGTAGGGACTTAGGTTTTGACCTGGGGGTCATGACACCTTAAACGATTTTGCACATGACTTGTGTGGAACCTCGCTGAAATTTAATATCAAAATACATTAGTGTAGTATAAAAACATAAGTGATGACCTTTTCTGGAAACAAGTTAAATTCCTAACCTCCCCTGCATACCCCTTGTGAAATTTTAGGTGGTTAAAAATCTTTGATTAATGCCTGACATAGAAATATAGTCCTTTCATTTTACTATTGGTGCAGAGTCACAAGTAAGGTTATATTGAGCATAAACAAAACTATATGAACTATTACCATAGTTCTAAAATTATGCCCCATTTTCTTACAGAGGTCAGAATCCACTGCATGTTCTTGGTCAGTATGGAAGAGACAATGCTGCTGCAATATTTGAACTGTTTAAAGAAAGTATGCCAGACTATCCCATTGCTAAACCAGACGTGGAAGGAAATACAGGTTTGCTTGATTTTAGCTTGACTATACTAAAATTACAGAGAACTATAATTGAACTCAACCTGGCATTGGCTTTGGCATCGCTGTCACGCTTCAGTTAAGTTTTACATCATGCAAGTTGGTATCTCCAATTGTATTAAAGGGAATGGATTTGAAACTTCTTACACGTCTTGTTATCTGTGATTATCTATTATCTATTAACATATTAGGCACAAGACTAATAACTCTGACTTACCTTTGTACAGAGTTATGCACCTTTTTTTACTGTCGAGCACTGAGAAAAGTCAAGCGCCATATAAAAACAATAGGTTAATCATATTTTCTTCACAACAAAGGCATAAATTTTGTTGAAAAATGGTTTGGTGTAAATGATGATACTATCAGGAACAACAACTCTTACTAGTAGAAATTTAGTATTTGAATTATGTTACTTAATTTGGAGAATTTATTGTGCCCCCACGTTAGTGGCGGGCATTTAGATTTACCCTTGTCCGTCCGTCCGTCCTTCCGTCCGTCCTTCCGTCAGTCCGTTCACATTTGTGTCGCACGTAACTCAAAAAGTATTTGATCTAGAGTCATGAAACTTTACAGGAATGTTGATCAGCATGTGTAGTTGTGCACCTGGGTATTTTGGTCTGGATATTTTAAGTATTTTCAGAGTATTAGCCCTTGACTTAGTAAAATTTTGCAATTTTCAACTTGTGTCGCAAGTAACTCAAAAAGTATTTGACCTACAGTTATGAAACTTTACAGGAATGTTGATCAGCATGTGTAGTTGTGCACCTGGGTATTTTCGTCTGGATATTTTTAGTATTTTTAGAGTAATTGCCCTTGACTTAGTAAAATTTTGCAATTTTCAACTTGTGTCGCACATAACTGAAAAAGTATTTGACCTAGAGTCATGAAACTTTACAGAAATGTTGATCAGCATGTGTAGTTGTGCACCTGGGTATTTTGTCTGGATATTTTTTAGTATTTTCAGAGTTATTGCCCTTGACTTAGTAAAATTTGGCAATTTTCAACATGTGTCGCACATAACTCAAAAAGTATTTGACCTAGAGTCATGTAACTTTACAGGAATATTGATCAGCATGTGCAGTTGTGCACCAGATATTTTCGTCTGGATTTATTTAGTATTTTTAGAGTTATTGCCCTTCACTTAGAAAATTTTTGCAATTTTCAACTTGTGTCGCAAGTTTCTCAAAAAGGATTTGACATAGTCAATAAACCTTATGGGCAGGTTGCTCAGCATATTTTAGATTTGCACCTGGGGTTTCGCTTGTGGATTTATCCAGTATTTGTATAGTTATTTCCCTTGACTTAGTAAAAAGATTGATAGAACAGTGTCGCGAGGGGGGCACCCGTGTCCTATGGACACATTTCTAGTTTTTTAATGTATTTTACCATGGCTTAAGTTACTTTTTGTAATATTCTTTATAATATTTCAGTATTGTTGTTGGCATACATGAATGGTAACGGGAACTTGTGTAGGGCACTAGTGCGAGCGGGATCTCCATTAGGAGATGTCAATAAACAAGGACTGAGTGTGTTCAATGCACCAGTAGCAACCAAACAGCTGCTGTTTAAACTTTTAGGTAAATATTTTTATCTCACCTGTCACAAAGTGTCATCTGTACATCCATGCATTAACTTAATTTTGACAGACCGGTTTTCTTCTACGGTTTTGTCCGTATTTTCTATGGATTTGATGACTAAAATACGCACTATGGCTAAATACCGAAAATTCTGGATTTTGGCCAAAAAATGGCGTTGTATTAATTTTTAGCTCACCTGTCACAAAGTGACAGGGTGAGCTTTTGTGATCGCTTTTCGTCCGGCGTCCATCTGTCCGTCCGTCCGAGCCAACATTTGATTATTATGAGCTTCATTCAGTAGTTAAATAAAGAACATAATTCTTTTAAAGAACTCAAAGAGCTAGAGCTAAGATATTAAGCATAAAACATGTTCTAATGGGTGTCTACCAAGTTTGTTCAAATAAAAGCCCTGGGGTTAAAATTGGCCCCGCCACGGGGGTCATTGATTTTCCTTATATGTGTATAGCAAAAACTTAAAAAATCTTCTTTGAAAAAACCCAAATAGCTAGAGTTTATATATTAAGCATGAAACATCTTCTAGTGAGTGTCTACAAAGTTTGTTGAAATAAAAGCCCTGGGGTCAAAATTGGCCCCGCCCCGGGGGTCATTGATTTTCCTTATATGTGTATAGCAAAAACTTAAAAATCTTCTTTTAAAAAACCCAAATAGCTAGAGTTTAGATATTAAGCATTAAACATCTTCTAGTAAGTGTCTACAAAGATTGTTCAAATAAAAGCCCTGGGGTCAAACTGGCCCGCCCCAGGGGTGTCATTGTTTTTAACTATATGTGTATAGTAAAAACTTTAAAAATCTTCTTTTAAAAAACCCAATGAGTTAGAGCTTAGATGGTTAGCATGAAACATCTTCTTATGGGTGTCTACCAAGTTTGTTCAAATAAAAGCCCTTGGGTTAAAATTGGCCCTGCCGATATTTATCATACATCTGCTTCTTGCCTGACAAACCTGTCAATTGCCTGCTTAAAATACAAGGCATTAATGGGTATTAACTTCAAGCAACTTGCTCTTTACCACTTTAAGTTCGAATCCTGCCAGAGAGTTTGGATTCTTTCATGAGAGGAAATATCAAGCTAGCTTGATAGTTGATTTTAAATATGATTTACATAAACTTGATCGTGACAGAAACATTGCGGTTTATTTGAAGGACTTCATGCTGGTACTAACCAGTACTGATATCAAATGAGAATACATGGTTGTGACCCCATTTGAGCTTGATCCCACAATCATGGGGATTGTTAAGAGGCACAAACACCTTTACCACTAGCTATTGTTCTTTTTTCAGAGTTGAAGTTTACAATGAATAATATGTCTGTAATGAATAATCAGTCTGTGATTTAATCTACCAAATTATGAAAATGTGTTATAAAAAAAGTTTTTGATTAGGCAAAATTTTTGTGGTAATTGATCTCATGACATTGAGTCTAATGGTCATTTGTCCCTCACCACTGATTCAGAAATCATGTGGGATAAGTTGTAGTTCACTTGTGGAGAAATTAGTGATTACTTGTTAGTTATCCAGGAAAGCCAGTTAAGTAGACCAACTTGTTAAGTAGTCAAACTTCAGAAATACAGACATTGATAAAATTGGCATATGCTAAAATTGGCGTAAAAAACCAATCCACAAAACAATCTCTAAGAAATATAATATATTTTTATTCTCTGTGTACATGAAATGAGATTCTACAAGTAAATATATGTAACTATTTCAGATATGTTGTCAAAGGAACCACCTTGGAGTGATGGTGAAGTTTGTTTAGAGTGTACTACTAAATTTAGCATCAAAACTAGAAAACATATTGGGTAAATAATGAGAATTGAACAAAAAACAAAGGGGTTTCGACCGCAGGGAATAACCATCCTTTTTGGGCTTTGATTAAAGGAAAACTGATCCAAGGCCTAAACTAATTGTATTTACCATCGGGTGAAAAAGGGGCATTTAAATGAAAATTAGGGATCCCAATTTTTTTTCCCTTTGGGTTTTATATTTTTTTTTTGTTAACTGTCAAATTTAAAACTTTTGAAATTTTTGGAGGGCTTGATTGGGATTTTTTTAAAATTTATTTTTTTGTAATTGTAATTTTTAAAAAAATGATTTTCTTTTACATTTCACATGCCAATAGACAGGTGAACAAGCAGATGAAATTGATTTTTGCTGAAAGATATTTACTATTCTCATTCCACATTTTATATTTCATTATCAATCATATGATAATAAGAGAGCTGTTTATTAGTCATTCATTGGCAATTAATTGAATTATTATGATTTTTAAAATCCATAACTATTGTTAATGAAAAGATGATGACTCCCTACTTTGTAAATTTGTCATTTTTTAAAAAATTTATATTTAAATGAAGATATCAGTTTTGTATTATTTTTTTATTTTTTTGCAGTCGGCACTGTGGCCGCTTATTGTGTTCCAAATGCTCTGCAAAAGATATGCCAATAGTGAAATACAACCTGTCAAAGCCTGTACGAGTTTGTGACGTCTGCTTCGATGTACTCTCACTGGGAGGGGCATTTTGAATGGGCGTAATCAACTTTTCTATAAATAACTTTCATAAATGAATGACATTTGATTCTCTGTCTTGGAGAGACCTCAATTCAAAAAGGATTTTGATTGGACAAGAAGTCACATTCTGCTTCCAAATCCTGTTTTCTAACAGGACATGTGATTAGAAGTAATGCTATAACATTCTGACTATGGGGGAAAAAAAGACTTGATTGGATAATTGTGATGTCACATGTTAATTGGTTTAAAGTTAACTAAACCTGTGTAGTTTTGTCTATGGTTCATATAGAAAGTTGCCTTTTGGTAATTTTGAAAACTTAGTGGGAACTAAAAAGTGATTTTGCTTCCAGTTTGAGCTGTTGTTTGATATATTTTAATCCAGCAGAACTAATCTAATATCTTGAGGGTTTGGTGCAGAATTGTTATATTTCCTTCTTTAATCCCATATGAATTGTAACCATTATTCACCAAACCCTCATTTTTTGTTCAGCTGAATTTATAAGTACAATGTATTAAAGGCAGCTTTTAGAGAATTGAGTGACTTATAATATCACATTTCTTTTAATAACATTGTATTAGGGATCAGTCATTAATCTTAAATGGGATCCCTCTTTAATTTTATGTGCAGATTTGTTATGTTTGATACTTTCGTGGTGAAAAAGTAGAAAAAAATGTTGTTATCATATTCCCTTGCATTTATGGTCCAAAGAAATAAAGGTCCACAAAAATTTAACAAAAAAAAAAAGGCAACTTAAATTAACCCTTAGCTTTTTGAACTGAGTTTTTTTTTGCCAGTAAGAACGGGCCCAGTCATTCCATGCTAAAATTAAAATTTAAAGAAAAGTTTAAAAATCAAGCAGCGGGTTTATGGTTAAATTCAGGCCCGTAGATAGGCTAATTAAGATGAGTAAATACAATAATGGAATTGTGTACTTTTTTAAATCTGTTAATAATGCATTAATTTAAAAAGTTTTTCAAAAAATAGACAATCGCTTTGTTGTACTCATTTTTAAAAGTCTATAAAAGGGTTGGATACAGTTAGGATATATTTTAATGAGTTTCGTAAAACAGCTAAAAATCATGTGGAAATCTGTTGGTTTATTTTCCAAAATAGACAATGGGGTAAACAGTGTTTAGTATGGTGTTAGTTTTTTTAAACAATTTTTATCACCAAAGATTTTACTATTTCAGCTTAATGCCACTGTTTTTATATTTAAAATTTTTGCATTTGTGCCTTTCTTTCCAAAACAGACTTAAAAATATTTACCATTTTAAAAATTTAATATTTTTTTTTTGGAAAGTAAAAAATTAAAGGTAAGGGAATTTATATTTTTCGCGGAATTTTTTTAATTGGGTTTTTTACACGAGTGGCATTTTTTTCATGGTTTTATTTTTAAAAAAAAAACGTGGGGATATTTTTTTAAGTACCTAATTTATAATACATTTTTAATAATCTCTAATCTAAATGTTTAACTGTAAAGTTTTTATTTTTTGGAAATAATTAATTTCACATTTTTTTTTAAACAAGGATTTATGCTTTACCTAAAAAAATTTAATTTTTTGGAAAAAATTTCCCTTTTTAAGTTTTTAACTTGTTTACAATATCACCAGGATTATGTAGTATATTTTGACAAACCTTCACGGGGGTTTTTTTTAATGAGTGGTTATTTTTAGTGAAATGTAAATTTTTGGAAATTTAAAAAAGAAATGAGTGAGTGGATTTTCACTGTAATCTCACTGTGAAACATATTTCACTAAGAGGTATATTTCACTATTAAATGTTTAGGAACATGTAAGACTTTAGAGATAATTATGGAAAATTAATTTAATTTTGTATTTGTTTCAAAAATAATTAAGTATTTGCTACAGTTAGAATATAAAATATATTTCACTGACCAAATTTAAGTATTTAGTTAGCAAATACAAGATTTAAAGATATTAAAATATGTTCATAACAATCTATAGATAGCTATATATGAGTTGTGTTTGTGGTGTGTTAATATATTTCATTAGTTATGTCAATTTTTCTATGTGCAATAACTTACATTAGTGCTACAATGAGTACATTGATTGGTAGCTATTTTTAGAATTTTACAAGCTGAGTTTTGTAGTTATTTTTAGCCTTTTGAGCAAAGAATCTTTATTAGTGTTAGTTGTTTTGCCATTTTTTACTAGTTTATTTAGTACATTCCATTTAAATATTTTCATTTTTCTTTTTGTGCTTCTCAATTTTTATTTAAGCACTTAGTACTTTAGATATTCAGATGTATGCATGTTTATAGACAAGGGTCAAAGGTCATAAGGTCTGTGATTCTGAATGCCTGGTCAAATAGATTATAAAAATATTATCCAGAACAAGGAAAATGTGTTTTTTTTCAAGCTTATCCCTAAATGGTACAAACAAACCTTTACCGTTTTAGCTTCACTGTGAAATACCGTTGACAATAGATAAGTCAACCAGTTGCGCATACATACCGTAATATTTAGGCTTATTTCCGGGGGACTTTTCATGTGGAGGTGGGGCATTGATCAGCAACCATATTGTTTCTAAAATTTACAGTACTAGCTTTTATAATTTTGCAAGGCATTAAATATTTGTTTTTATGCTTTAATACTTTTGTTTTTTATATTATTTGCTGTCAATTTCTCGTGTTTTTTGCCAAATGATCAAAAATAAAAAAGTGTTATATTATATTACGTTATATAAGATTATAAACAATTTTTTAATGGTTTGATTAAGCTAAATAAATATGGGATATGGTGATTAGATGAGCATGGAGTGAAGTTGCATTGATTAGTGTCTGTGGACAAAAAAAAATGCAGTGCATACTTTATCTCAACAAATCTGAATGAAAAGAAATGAAATTTCACTAGAATTACTGATATTAAACGTGTCTAACTGCCCATATTGCATTAGAATTACAGATATTTAATGTGTCTTACTGCACATATTGCATCTAACTTTTCATGCATTTTCATACAGAGTTACATCCATTTGTGGTTTTTAAATTCATATGAGAAGTGCTTTTCCTTACATCATTAGTATTAAAGTAAATGAGAGACATTGTGTGATATTTCATGGATCATGTTTTACAGCCAAGTTCAACATTCACTGTCATGAAAGCTGCACATACATGAATGAACTAGAACAACAGTTTACATTATTTCAATTATTTTTACATTAAACTTCATGTAGTTCATGATAAAAGTTCATGTTCATTATATGACAGCTTACAGTTACATATAATAACATTCATTTTTGCATGTTTGCTATTAACAGTTACATTCTTGATGCCAGTGTGCTTAAATCAATTTTTTTACAGTATCATATTTATATAATGTTCATAGCAAATCAAATTTTATCTAGACAATGTTGAAATCATTTAAATTATAGCTGTGACAGAGGGCCTTTAAATACTTATGCAGCTGAAATTTAACATAAGCAATAATTCTTAATGTTGTATTGTTAATTGTATTAAAGACAATATTGGTAGTTGTATGGTTATGAAATTATTTTAAACTTAGACTTTTATTGTAATAGTAATTTAAGTGCAGTAATACTATCTTGCCTAAGTCATCAGTATAGTTGGGTCAATCTACAATACTGTGAAGTCTGACCAAACTCTATTGTAGTGTGACCAGACCTGATACTGTAGTCTGACCAGACCCTATATGGTGGTCTGACCAGACTATATGGCAGTCTAATCACACCCTATAATGTAGTCTGACCACACACTATAATGTAGTCTGACCAGACCTTGACCAGACCCTATAGTGTAGTCTGACCAGACTCTATATGGTAGGATGACCAGACCCTATAGTGTAGTCTGACAGACTCTATATGGTAGGCTGACCAGACCCTATAGTGTAGTCTGACCAGACTCTATATGGTAGGCTGACCAGACCCTAAGTGGTAGTCTGCTCATCAAGGTATTTCCATATTGAAGCTTTGAAATGCTGGTACCTGTATGGAGCTTGGCCAGTCTGTACATACATGTATGTTACCTGTCTTACTTAAATTTTCATTCTGATATCCCAAAATTGGTAATTGACTGTTCCAAAATATGGAAGTTGGAAATTCAGTAAGTTAAAGGTTAAATCCTGTATGATAATGAGGAACAATTTGAAATAAAGTCCAGTCAATTAAACAACATCTCATTCAGCTTGTCTGGTTGATATAGGTCCTCTGAGGAGCAATTATAAATTATTGACATTTTTTCATATAAAAATCTTGGTAGTGTTTTTTTTTATAGAATCAATAATATGCATGTGATTTAGTGTTGTATTGTTAAAGTATTGCTATAAACTTATAAAAAATAATAAATAAAACTTGAATGTACAAATACTGTGTTATTATTTATTAATAGGATTTACACTGTCTTCTATTGTCCAACAAATGACTTTCACACCCCTTTAAATCATTTCGTATTTTATTCTTCGCAAGGCAACGCATATATTAAACCAACGAGGCATTTTTACATTATGGATACGGAAATTAATTTTTTTTAAGCTTTTGATGTACCTGATACAGCTCTACACCAATAACTTGTGTGAAAAATTTCTGATAATACCCTTACTGTGTTTTTTTAGAATAATCATTTAAATTGTGTAAAATGACCTAAAATAAAAAAAAAAAATTAAGTTACATTGGACTACGGTCAATTTTCCACAAAATTATGAGTAAATTCCTTTATCTTTTTATATTCTTCAATTAAAAAGCCCAAAAACATCTACCTAAGATTTTCAAATTTTATGTTCTTCAGTGGAGTGCCTTTAAATCTTGTCTAAGTTTTATTTAATGAAGAAACAATTTCGTTTTATTTTGTATACTTTAATATCATTTGTTTAGAGGATTCCTCCTCCTTTAAGCGTACATACATCACACATGTATATTTTAAATCACATAAATATAGACACAAAAATATCCATTCACAATATAATGTCATATAATTTAATTTCCCTAAACATTAATTTGGCTTGTCCCTTTTACCCAAATATACTCCATGCTACAGATTTTTCACAGCTGAATAAAAATCATGGATAAAACATTATCTGCATTATACATGTATACTCCAATCTTTTTTCACTATAATCACAGCATTTTTTGCGTCATATATAATGAAAGAGCCAGCCTTGAATTTCATGAAATAAAAAAAAAACGCTTTAAAACACAATTCTTCATTAAAAATATGTAGTCACAAGATCTTGTAAAGTAGAAGTCAACTCAAATTCTAGAGGTTTCACTTGTATAGCATTGTTTCTATGACGTATGCCGTTCCATTGTTGGAGAATACTGGCATACTGATCTGCCATGTTCTGGTTCCCGACTTGTCGATAAAGTCTTAACAAGCCCCGGTAATCATACTCTAGTCCAGAATAACCTTCCCCAAATAGCTTTTTCCCTGAAAAAATATCCAAAATATTCAAAACCATGTTATGTTACTAAAAAATGGATATGTTACTATAAATAGAAAGTATGCTGCTATTAATAGTAAGTATGTTCTATAAATAGATAATGTTGCTATTTATAGACAATAACCGGTTCTGGTATACAGTATTTGATCGTAACTGCTTGCTGGTATCTGATCTAGTGTCCTGACCTATTTTACCCCTACTTATTCAATTGATTTCATCAACATCATGCAAGGAATTATGGGGAAAATCATACACTTCTAACCTAATGGTCCAATAAGGTGTGATATTTTCTGAAATACTTGAACAGCTGCTGAAGCTTTAACAACATCTGACAATCATCCGGTCAGATTTAGACTGTCTGAAAATGCTTTTACCTGTAACTGACTGTTAGTCCATGAATCCAAACTGACAATCACTCATTAAAATTTGTTTAAAATTCAAAAACTTTTTACTTGTGATTAATGCCATTATTTTTACTTTCTGACCAATGATTTTGGCAGTTATATATGAAGCAGCCCTTCAGTTTTTCAAGCAGTAATATAATACTTTACTAAGACAGGACCAAATCAATAACCAATCTTTTTTTGAGAAGGTTTAGGTATAAAAAACATAAAGCTAAAACTACAGAAAACAACAATAATTACCTATTTCAATGGATCTAAGATACAGTTTTTCTGCTTCATCATATTTATCCATATCATAATTATATAATGAGGCCAGATGTCCAACAGACAGAGCCACCTCGTAGTCCTCGGCCCCCAACAGTCGTTCCTTAATGTCTATAGCCTGAAGGTGCATCTGCTCTGCTTCCTGTAGAGAAGAGACAAAAATATAAAAAATATCATGTCTCAAATAAAATATGGAGTTAAAAAGTTATTTAAAGCGGCCTTCAGCTTTTATTTTCTGTTGAGAAAAACAATTTTGTGTTGTTTCAAATTAAGTATTTCAGTAATTTTATCTTGAAAAAGTGTATCATATCACTGTAAAGACTTCTACAAAACAGCTTCCAGAGAGTTATTTATAAAGTGTCAGTGAATTTTTTGTTTCTGAAAATAGAGGGCCGGAAACGAATTGTCCGCTTTACTTATTTAAATTCAAAGAGCAGACAGGTAGTTTAGAAGCATTGATATGTTTCTTTATTATGTATTTTATTGGTGGCATAGTTTATTTTCCACCATAACTCTTTAAATTTGACATATAAAATGATTTATTTAAAAATAAAATTTAACCTTTAGAAAAGCTAAATGCTGCATTAAGTAAGCATATGTCAACCATAACCAGGCTTTATTTAGGTATTGGACTCATCTTGTTTTGAAATCAGAACTGTCAATTATTAGTTAGGGAAATTTCAAAATCAAAATACTTTAACCATGTAAACTGTATGGACAGCAGCGTAAAGTTTGATCAGATAGAAAATTCATGAGCAATCAAGTCAGGCTTAATGCAGGTGACATAAATAAGGACTTATAATGAAATGTTTTAAATAACCATGTGGGATTTGTAGTCTGTAACTAGTGGAACAAGAGGGCCATGATGGCCCTGAGGTCGCTCACCTGTATATAGGCCCCATCAACCCCCCCCCCTAACGTTGCAGGGCCAATTTAACCCAAGGGCTTTTATTTGCACAAACTTGGTAGACACCCATAAGAAGATGTTTCATGCTAAACATCTAAGCTCTAGCTCATTGGGCTTTTTAAAAGAAGATTTTTTTTAAGTTTTTACTATACACATATAGTTAAAAACAATGACACCCCTGGGGCCGGGCCAGTTTTGACCCCAGGGCTTTTATTTGAACAAACTTTGTAGACACTTACTAGAAGATGTTTCATGCTTAATATCTAAACTCTAGCTATTTTGGGTTTTTCCAAAGATTTTAAGTTTTTGCTATACACATATAAAGAAAATCAATGACCCCCGGGGCGGGGCCAATTTTGACCCCTGGTCTTTTACATGAACAAACTTGGTAGACACCTATTAGAACATGTTTCATGCTAAATATCTTAGCCATAGCTCTTTGAGTTCTTTAAAAGAAGATTTTTTAAGTTTTTACTATATGCATATAGGGAAAATCAATGACCCCCCAGGGCGGGGCCAATTTTGACCCCAGGGCTTTTATTTGGACAAACTTGGTAGACACTTATTAGAACATGTTTCATGCTAAATATCTTAGCTCTAACTCTTTTGGTTCTTTAAAAGAAGATTTTTTAAGTTTTTACTATATGCACATAGGGAAAATCAATGACCCCTGGGGCGGGGCCAATTTTGACCCCAGGGCTTTTATTTGAACAAACTTGGTAGACACCTATTAGAACATGTTTGATGCTCAATATCTTAGCCATAGCTCTTTGAGTTCTTTAAAAGAAGATTTTTTAAGTTTTTACTATATGCATATAGGAAAATCAATTACCCCCCCCCCCCCGGGGCGGGGCCAATTTTGACCCCAGGGCTTTTATTTGAACAAACTTGGTAGACACCCATTAGAACATGTTTCATGCTAAATATCTTAGCTCTAGCTCTTTGGGTTCTTTAAATGAAGATTTTTTAATTTTTTACTATATGCATATAAGGAAAATCAATTACCCCCCGGGGCGGGCCAATTTTGACCCCAGGGCTTTTATTTGAACAAACTTGGTAGACACTCACTAGAAGATGTTTCATGCCAAATATCTAAGCTTTAGCTCTTATGGTTTTTTAAAAGAAGATATTTAAAGTTTTTTCTTTCGGTTGCCATGGCAACCAAAGTTCTGCATGGAATTAAATTCTTTGAACAATTTTTAAAGGTGACCACCAAAGGAACATTCCTGTGAAGTTTGGATGAAATTGGCTTAGTGGTTTATGAGGAGATGTCATTTAAAGTAAAAGTTTGCGGACGGACGGACGGACGCCGGACGAAAAGCGATCACAAAAGCTCACCCTGTCACTTTGTGACAGGTGAGCTAAAAATTGAAAACGATGCTTTTCACTCAAATCCAGCTAAGAATAGCACAAAAATATTTTTTGTTTTATTATTCTGAGTATATTTCAGAATCATCTTTTGAAAATCTTTCTGTTTTAAGTGCCTCAGCTGATCTATGTTAGGAAATTCAAATTTTTGTTTTTGCCTTTAGGACCTACCTTAGTCGAGTTCCTTTAATAAAGCCTTAAAGTGATAACAATTCAATTTACCTCAAAGTTATGCATTGACTGATAAAGGCGACCAAGATTTCCATAATGCTTGGCAGTCTGTACGTTGTTTTCTCCGAAAGCTTTCCTCGCCAGTGCAAGAGATTGTAAGTGTAGTTCTTGTGCCTCAGTTAATAACTTGTCCTCCACTTCTTTATTGTGACTATCTATTGCTATTTCTTCTAGAATAAGAGCTGAAAAACAAAAAACAAACACTGTTTTGTATGCCTTAAAAAGCTGAAATCTTATTTCAATTGACGTTATCCGAAATTCTGCAAAGTGGGTTTTTCCCAGTTAATATGTAGGTATAAACTAACTTTCACCATTATAGCTTTATGGTGCACTACCCGTCACAATAGATAGGTCAAACCGTTTCACTTATTTTCAAAGCTGTTACTGTAAAAGTTTGTTTGTACCTACGTCATTAGCTGGGGGGAAAAACGAAATATTCTTAATTCCGGAGTAAGTCTATTGCTTGCAATTTCATTTGATAACCTTGGAAACCCAGGGTCCCTAGTTTTCTTGACCTTAGAGCTGGTGAGGTGAACGGACAGCCAAGACACAACATAAACATGTCTTGAAATTGGAGTGAAGAAACAAACTAAACAAATGAACACAAATTTACTTAATATGAAAGTAAGATACCCTATACAGGCAGAGCCATGAATCTTCTAAATATCTTACAAACTTTAAAAACATTGCATAATACTGTAGAATCTTTTCTTTTCTGATCAACTGTAAAATATAAATTTTGAATTAGCTGTGGCACAATTTTCAAATAACTTTAACTCAGTGATTAAATACAATACCCAACACATACCTTTCACTCTCTTTGATGATGACAGCATGAGATGGTCTTTTGGCAAAATGTGTTCTAGAATTTCAATGGCCTTTTCAGCATGATCCCTAGAAAAATTGGAATGAATACATGTTAAAAGCCACTTAAAGCAGCATGCCTCAAGATTCATTGTGTGGTAATTTTCATGAAAATTTTGAAAACGTTTTTTTAGAGTAGAAGAATTGTGAAGTTAACAAGACAGTTATTTACACATTGCAAACCGCCCATACAAATCCATCTTAGTTACCAAAACAAAGTCAATTACTGAGTTAGTCTCGTAGTAACAAATATGGTAATATATACTGCAAAATCAGCCATAAATGGCACATATCATGGATTATTACTTCTTGAATTTTTTTCTCAAGTTTGATTTTTTTTTAAAATATTTTGGCACATCTGGAGGCATGTAGCTTCAATATCAAATGTGAAATTATGCCCATTCATAAGTAAATTGTAAGTGTTCAGGTAAAATTCCAAATAACTAAACATTTTGTCATATTTGTTTTTAATTTCATGATAAATATCACCTTAATAATCAATAACTGCTGTGACCAACACAAGTATCTAAAAATCTTCAAAAATATCTATAATGTTCTATTTATAAAAACCTATAATTAAATCATAAGAGCTTACAGAACTTGTAAATTTTACTGTAAATAACAATGCAAGAATATGTATAAAAATCTCACTTGGCATCAGTAAATCGTCCGGAACTATATTCTTGTACATACGAGGCATAAGATAAATCTTCATGGGCGACAGCTACGTGTAGATTGTTTCCTCCAAAAACAGCTTGACGTATATCTAATGCATTCTAATATAAGCACATGAAATATTTTGTTAATAAGCAATGAGACCATAATAATAATAGAAACAAGAAAGCAGGGTACTTTGTATACATGTCCCTTTTGGCTTCTATACGCAAAAAAATAAAGCAAGTCATAAGTATTAAAATACATTTTTATCAGATATTCTCTTTACCTTCGCCTATTTAAGAAAAATATTTCAGAGTGACAATACATACAAACCATAACAATAATTTGAAATGAATAATTTCATTTAGAGGACAAAAGGCCTACAAGTTAATGTGTCATCCTCTAATCCTTGCAATCATAGGTGTCAAGTGTCGTTTGACAGCTGTAAAAAGTTGCCCAATACTTCACTTCAGTATTGTTATATTTTCTGCTCGTCAGGATCAATGACTCCAGAACTTTTAAGTGTTAAAAATTGAGCACCGCTCAAGACAGTGCTAGGGGGTGCGAGGGATGTTGCATTTTTTCATTATCCCTCATGTACAGACTCAATTTTAACTGAGTCTGCAATATTCATGAAAATTTGCTGTGATTAATGCTTCCAAGGGATCACACTTTTTCCAGATTTTTATACCATTCTTGTGTGTGTTAAAAAAGCCATATTTCCTTGTGTGACTCTAGCACTGGTTAGTCCAAGTACTAGATTTAGTGGAAATTTAATTAAGTTGCAACAATTGGCGCCATTAATAAGAGGAAAAAGAAAAATAATATGTTTGAAGTAAGCTAACAATGACAAGTTACCTGATAAACCTGTACAGCAGCAGCTATTGAATCTACATTGAGTAGATAGAAGCCGTAATCTAATAAAGCATCAGCATACTTCGGGTGATGGCAGCCAAAACATTCTCTGTAACAAATGCTACATTGTCAAATTGTGAAATGTTACAAAAAAGGACAGTTAGGACTAATCAAGAGCAAAATATTACTGGTGTAAGGGAAATTGAACAAATATAACAACATGTGACATAATACATAGATTCCTCACAATTTACGACAAACTTTATGAATACAATACAACACTAAAACAAGAGCCGGTTGAACCGGGTGATGCTCCCCGAATAGGTTTTGGACACAGGAAGGTATACCTCTTGTTGTGTCAGAGTTATGGCACAGACAAAGTTCAAAGTGTAAAAACAACCCAAATATTGTGCATGACACATTGTCTCAATGTGGTGATCATTTTTGTGAAATAGTTGTAAAATCCGACTTCAAATAACGAAGTTATGCGCCTGACATTATTTTGCTGCAAGGTCATGCTGTGACCTTGACCTTCAAGGTAGTGACCCAAATGTTACATGCGACACGTCGATTCAATATGGTGATCATCTCTGTGAAATAGTTGTTAAATGCGAGTTCCAGTAACAAAGTTATGGGCCGGACACGATTTTGCTGCAAGGTCATACCGTGACCTTGACCTTCAAAGTAGCGACCCAAATGTTGCACGCGACACAATGTCTCAATGTGGTGATCATTTCTGTGAAAAAATTGTAAAATCCTACTTCAAATAATGAAATTATGTGCCGGACACAATTTTGCTGCCTTCAAGGTAGCGAGCCAAATGTTGCGCACGACACGCCATTTTAATATGGTGATCATTTCTGTGAAATAGTTTAAAAATCTGACTTCAAATTAGGAAGTTATGGGCCGGACACGATTTTGCTGCAAGGTCATGCTGTGACCTTGACCTTCAAGGTAGCGACTTAAATCTTGTGCATGACACGTCATCTTTATATGATGATCATTTCTGTGAAATACTTTTTAAATCCAACTTCAAATAGCGAAGTTATGGGCCGGACACGATTTTGCTGCAAGGTCATGCTGTGACCTTGACCTTAAAGGAAGTGACCCAAATATTGCGCCCAACACATCGTCTCAATATGGTGATCATTTCTGTGGAGTATTTTTTAAATCCGACTTCAAATAACAAAGTGATGGACTGGACACGATTTTGCTGCAAGGTCATGCTGTGACCTTGACCTTCAAGGTAGCAACCCAAATATTGCGCGCAACATGTCGTCTCAATATGGTGATCATTTCTGTGAAATATTTTTAAAATCCGACTTCAAATAATGAAGTTTTGGACCGGACACGATTTTGCTGCAAGGTCATGCTGTGACCTTGACCTTCAAGGTAGTGACCCAAATGTTGCGCGCAACACGTCGTCTCAATATGGTGATTAATTCTGTGAAATATTTTCAAAATCCGACTTCAAATAACAAAGATATGGACCGGACACGATTTTGCTGCAAGGTCATGCTGTGGCCTTGACCTTCAAGGTAGCGACCAAAATGATGCGCGTGACACGTCGTCTCAATATGGTGATCATTTCTGTGAATTAATTTTAAAATCCGACTTCAAATAACAAAGATATGGACTGGACACGATTTTGCTGCAAGGTCATGCTGTGACCTTGACCTTCAAGGTAGCGACCCAAATGTTGCGCGTGACACGTCGCCTCAATATGGTGATCATTTCTGTGAAATATTTTTAAAATCCGACTTCAAATAATTAAGTTATGGACCGGACACGATTTTGCTGCAAGGTCATGCTGTGACCTTGACCTTCAAGGTAGCAACCCAAATGATGCGCGCGACACGCCGTCTCAATATGGTGATCATTTCTGTGAAATAATTTTAAAATCCGACTTCAAATAACAATGTTATGGGCCGGACACGAATTCGGGATGTACGTACGTACATATGTTCGTACGGACGGATGGACGGACAACCCGAGGACTATATGCTCCCCCGAAATTTTTTGGGGAGCATAAAAAACTCTCCTGACTTTCTGTTAATATACATAATCATGCTTAGTTTTCCTTATTTATTGCTTAAGTTCCTTACAAGTTACAATTTGTATGACTCTGGGTTTGCAATATAATTACCTAGCTTTTAACAATAAAAGCATGTCATTTGTATAAGCAAAACATATTTTCAAGGAAATTCAATATTTGTGACAAAATTAACCATCATTTACCTGGCATAGCTAACAGCATACTTGATCAATACTTCAGCTTTACAAAACTCCCGTTTTACAACACAAGCCTTGAAATATACAAACATTTACTCTGTTATACAAGTAACATATATGGTAAACAGTGAAATGTTTTTCTGTTTTTCTAAATATAGAATGTCAACAGTGATTTCATTGCATAATAACACACACTTTTGATCCTAATAAAATTGTATTGAACACATTGAAGAAAAAAAATGTTTATACCAATATCCAATTCAAACTTACAGACAAGGATCAAGTGGTTCAAAATTAGTTACTCATGTAAGATCTTTTGGAACCGTTATATATGTGTACACATAGTATAAGCTTTTGTGTACTTACCTTAGAACATTGCCTCAGAATATCAACAACAGCTTTCTGAGGTAAACTCAAAGACAATTCTTTCATCGCCAAGCCACAATGTTTAAATGCCTGTAATGAATGTTTAATGATCATTAATTATTATGTATAAAACCATGGGCTACCATTGTCAGCAAACCATGTTGATTAACAATTTATCAAGCTGTGGATCAAATGAATTGATTTGTGCTTATATACAGCAACAGGTGTGTAAAATATCAACCAATAAAATTGTGTTTAATGCCATTTATATTCTTCAAAGCGGAAATGTTTGTGTAATTATCATTTTTTATCTACGGGACTGGGAGAGGAACTATATAAGTTTTCTTTCATTCTAATCCCTCTCAATTTTATGTTACAATTATATCCATATTAAATGTAAAACATTGTATATGTAAAATATTGAAATAAATATGTTTAAACTAAATGGGAAAGTAAAAAACTTGCAGTCACATTCAATTTTCAATGCTTTTTTGCTGGAATGTAGAAGTTTTCACAAACTGAATTTAATTGGTTTTGTCATTGGTTTTATTCCCTTCCTGAAATCCTGAGGCAACAAATGAAATATCTGTCTTTGACACACCTCTAATTGACTGGATATAGACCGAAATTCCAACAGCTGATAAATGTTAATTGTTTGGCAGTGAGTATCAGACGATGATGGGCTACATAACATGATACTTATATTATTTCTTGAAAAATTTCTTTTTAAATTTTCAGGCTTAATGGGACAGCATCTGTTATTATTCAAGCAATTTATTGGTCAATTAACCAGAAAAGCCAATTAGGCAGATCAACCACCGAGATATGGCTAAAAATGTGTAAAAATAGGCATAAAAAACAAAATAGAAAAACAATGATGAAATTATACCTTTTTCATAGAAAAGAATTCTGGCTCCAAGTCATGATTCAAACCCTACACGCTCAGGTGCAAATGATTCAAAATCATGAGTTTTTAAACAATTGGCTACTTTAAATTCAGGTTTATTTGCCTCAATCCTTATCCCCCTAAATATATTCAATGGACTTGTCCATTCTTTAATCTGGACAAAACCATTTATCCTTTTTATGGAACTTTTTTTTAAATCAGTACCAACTGAATATCAGTGCAAACCACGATCAGATAATCCAGCTGATTTGATCTGAACTGTTTACTTGGGTATATTATGCTGCCGACAACAGGTTAAAGGTTCAAGAACTCACCTCATCATACTGGCTCTCGGCAAAGAGCAGGGCACAATATTCTGTGTACAATGTTGCTTTGTTTACACTGGTTCCATGCTCATCAATCTTCTCAATTACATACAAGGCATCTTTACATGTGGCTTTAGCCTCCTGATATTTACAGTTAGAGTTCTGCACATGAAGTAACCTATAAAAAACAAAACCTAAATAATCTATTTAAAGAAATTATCTCAAGCCGTAAACAAAGGCAGGAAACATGCTTTTTCTCCAGAATCCAATTTTCACAAACATGTATTCAAGACTTTGACATTCAAATATCATAAAAATCTTGAAATCAGCATGTTTTTCCCCCTAGTTTTACATGTAGAGAAAAAGAGAGGTTAAGTGCTTCTCAATGCCCTAAAATAAATTCAGAGATATTCTAACCCATGAATTCAAGGAAAATTAAAGTACTAGAAAATCAATAGTTACATGTAAAAGCTCAAATAGACAAGAATAAAGGCTGTTTGTAAATGCCCATTTTCCACCTAAATATGATTGATTTGACAATTATATGAAACACTTTACCTAAAAACAACATATTTAACCTTTAGAAAACCTGAACTATAAATAAACACTCTCTAAAATCATAAGTCTTAAATAACATGTTTGCTATCAAAATGCTTTGCACAGTTTAAATATAAAAAAATCAGGAATAGTTATTATTACATGTAGTTATAAAGATTTTTGACAGGTTATATGGCCCTATATAAACCGTTGTTTGGAAATAGCAGCTTGGGTTGCATTGCAAACAACGGTTCATATACGGCCATATAATCACTCAGAAAAAAAATAATTACATGTATAACAAACTTGTAATACAGCAAGCATTCTTTTAAAGAGGAAAAAGTGTGAAATCTTCATAAATTGAATGTTACGATTATCCAATGAAAAGCGATGTTACGATTGTGCAGTATTATAAATACATATATACCTGACACTGCACTCCAAGGATTTACACATACTAGGAACAGTGACATCTATTTGACATACACTCAGACATGCCTTATATACCTTCTCTGCATCACTAAACCACCCTGCATCACTGAGAAAACCTCCTGGAACATTAAAATTATACAAAATATAGTCTTACCAAATATTCATTTTAAACCTTTTTAAGCTTTTCAGAGCAGTTATACACTGCATTTATAGCTCCCCATGTTACAACAGAGTTCTTTGCATTTTCTGAGATAGCAAGACAAGATCAATGATTAGTACTATACAGTTGTACTTTGTTTCTCATTGGTAAATTAGAATTTTTATGTATATAATATCAGTTGACTCAGTACCTTTTTACTCTACTCTATATGCAACATATATAAAAGGTAAACTTTTCAGGTCATTACCAACAAGTCAATTATTGTACTCAGGTAAGCTAACAGTTATTTGTGTATTAAAAACAAAAGAATTAACTTAGATTTTTGTACATGTTTAAACTTTGGCTTTTTGTATGACCATGACAAATACTTGTTTACAAGAGCTGTACGTAAGACAGCGCGCTTAACTTTTGTAGGTATTTGCAAGAAAAGTGGAGAAGATGGTCACTAACGAGTAATTTAAAGTTTCAAACCAATACCTCAAAAGGTATAGGAAATAAGTGGTGTGGTACAAAAAAACTAAACCAAAATTCTGAGTGAAAATCCATCACAGAGTTATGTCCTCTTGCTTGGAAATGGAGATGATGATCACTAACAAGAAAGCAATACCTCAAACAGTATAGGAAATAAGGTTGGTGGTGCAAAAAGTTTTGTTTTTTGAGAAATCCAGGTCAACCAGTGACTATGCATTATTCCAGTGTAGCAGTTAGATACTCATCATAGCCACTCAAGTCAGCCAATTTGCATGTAGAATTGTAAACATTGGAAAGGTCCATTGATATGAACAGACCTAAAAATATCATTTGATAAAATCTGCAAATCTTACCTAATGCAAAGCCTAGCTGTATTACTTTATCTTTTGATTGTATATCTGGTAAAGCCTGGTACACTTGACTTGTAAATGCATCGGCCAGTATCTCAGAGACTCTTACACCATGATCCATCAATGCTTGAAAGCAGTGGTGTAACAAATGCCTACAATTTGAATTGACGAAAATTTTATATTCGCTAAAAAAGATTATAAATTTATATAAAGACTATGATATATGAAAGAAAATAGTTCATTATCAGTGGCTAAAATCAAGATCGTGTAAAAAAATCATATCACTGTCTTTAATCAATCTCTTCTATAAGGATTCATCAATTTCATGTTCAAACAAACTTTTAAGCCTTTAAATTTTGTTTTGAACAGTATTATTATGATACTACACTTAAAGTGAATTGGTCTACAATGGAAGGTCTGGAAATACAATAAATAATTATGATCATAGTATTTATTATCACACATAACATAAAACCAAAAAAGAATTCTACAAGGACATTGTTTGCAAGTGTGAGATATATGATCTGATATCTAATATATTTATAGCAGGTAATAATTTATTCTAGACCAATATATTATATTTTATCATACTAATGTTCATTCTTAATCACTTAAACTTTATCAACAATCATTTTTTCAAGCAATATTTAATAAGAATATCCAAATGATACATTTCTATTGTTTTTATCAATATTTGAAATACTTGTGAAAAAAATATGCCTATTGTAATTTGTAGACCAATCCACTTTAAGGTTCAATGAAACTGTGTGTTTGAAATTTCTACAGCTCCCTCAAAAACTTTTCAACCTCTAAGCTAACTCAAATATAGTAAGAAGAGTGTCTATAAGTACAACATACAATGCACATGTATCACGGATTTATATTACAAGGATCGGACACTATCATTTAGCTTAAAATCTTGTGGTGTGCATGCACGGAATCGCACATCAGATAAAGGTGGACAGAATGAGAGATGACGGAACGAGTGGAGTGCGATATATGACAGATTTTCACAAGAGTATGCGGTGTTATTGGCAGCTTTGTGAAAAATTATACACATATGAATGTATTGATACAGTATTATTTTGTGCCGCTAAAGTATTAATATTTGAAAATACATGTATGCCGATAGAACGCTGCAACGCTGAGTTAAAAAAGTACCTAATTTAAAAAATACCTATTGTTTATGCATACTCTCTACACCTTGACACCCTTTTACTTCAAGCACAAATTATTACCGTGATTCAGATTAAGATAATCATTTTTTAAATGGTTTAATGGTTGCATTGCAAAAAAATGTTTCTCGATTGCTTAAAAACTTTTAAAGAAATTCATGTTTAAAATTTGTCTTTATTTCTGTGAATTATTTCCAAATGAATACCCTAATATTAGTATAAATATAGTAAATCTTTTACTAATTAATGTATTAAATATATTTTCAGATCATTCAAGACAAGCGTTCATATATAGATGAATTCATTAGATTGACAAGGAAGAAACTTTTATTGGCATACAGAACAGCTGTTTTATAATATTATTTTTTATTCTAAAACAGATTTTTTTCATAGTTATCCTTCACATCAAATGATTTATTTGTGATATGTTTATTTTCATTATTTTTCAAAGAAAAGCTATACAAATTTAGAAATCTTGACAATAAACTTTAAATTTCCAAAATCGGATAATAAATGGAAAAGCTATATGGTTTTTTGTAATGTAGGTATCCGTTGCGAACGGGCATTTTCGCTTAGCGCCGGTAAATTATCGATCGTTGTACCTTTATCGGGTGCATGACAAGATATTTAAGCATTTATATAGGGTTAACTGGGAGTGTCCCATCCCTGTAATATAAATCCGTGCATGTATGTATGTTATTCATTGACCAAAAAAAACAACAACAAAAATTCCTGCTTCTTGATTTCTGTTTGAGACTACATGTACCAATATTACAGTAAGTTGACTGTCAAAATGCTAATATTTAGAGAATTTTTAACTAACATACAGTACCTCTTGTCATTTACTTTAAGAACCTTTGCAAAGGTATCTAATTCTGAGAATTCCATGCCAAGTTGACACAATCTCCCTTTGTTGTATAACTGCAAAACACAAAGGTTTTAAATGTTATATTGTAAATATTTATATAATTTTGATATATAGTTTAACTAGAAATTAAAAACACAAATGATCACAATTGGTGAGAAAGAGTGCAAACTTATATCAAGGTAGCACAGTCAAATTGCAAGTAGAACACACTACATAATTCAATACACCGATAAACACTTTCCCCAACTAGCAGACGACAGGCTATTCTTATCAGTAGGTTTTCAAGTTAAGATAACCGGTTGCGTATCTCACTGTATAAATCGTATGTAAAAAGGGCTGACACATGGCAGGTTTAACAGTTAATTTAAATACTTTGATGTCAAAAGATATGTAAAATTATATACTGTGACAAAGCTAAGATCCCAAGCTTTCCATTGATGTAAAAAAAAATATAAATCGGACATTTAATCACAACAAACTAGCTGTTTAAAATGGCTTAATTTGTATTGTTTTAGCGTAAGAAATAACAATTTTACTCTAAGATAAGGGAAACAACTCGTATTTTTTTCACTAGATATACCTCGGTTTCTTTACGTAGTTTATATGAAAAGTGTTTAATTATAAGTTTATGGGTGTATAATTGTTTAGGCAGGCCTTGTAAAAATGTCCTTCCCAAACAAAAAAAAGAAAGGAATGAATCAGTATAATAAATGATAAACAAATTTACAATTTATTCCCAATTTATTATAGATGGAAATGACATGCAAATGAGCCAATGCATTATGAATAAATTGTTAATAAATCAGTGAAATGAATTGGTAATGAATTGGGTCCATTTACCAACTTATTATAAATTGTTAATAAATCAGGTTAACAAATGGGTAATGAATTTGGTCCTTTTTTTTTTACTTAGTCAATGAATTATCAACAAATCAGGTCAATGAATTGGCAATAAATTAGGTTCGCTGACCAACTGATTCATTAATGAATTGCAAATAAATTGTTAATGAATCACTAATAAATTGTATTTTTCTTCTTCCATAAACCGAAATTCAATGTATTAATGAATCATTAACAAATCAGGCTTGTCTGCTTATATTCATCTAATGGATTTTGAATAAATGCAGGTTCCAATGATGGTGTCAATTCCGGAGAAAAATATGAAAATAATAATAATAATAATAATAACATATCTTGATAAATTTTATTTATTTTTGTTTTATTTTTTACAAACAAAAGCTGACTAGATAAATCAAGAACATACAATAAGATTAAAATTTGTGAAAAAATCTATGCCACCACATCATAACATTGAAAACTCATAATGTACGTGCTTAGCTCATTTCATAAATATCCCTGCAAATAAAACAGGTAATGTCAGGTAAACAAGTAAAGGGGAATAATTCTGGAAATATTCGTGCTTGCTGTTAGGAATATATTTCTAGTTTTAGAAACTAGGGCTTTATGTCAGTCTAAAAACATCTTTGCCTTCCTTTTCAGTGTCTGTCTGGAGCTACACCTTTTTTATTCCTATAATTATTAAATGTTGAATCTCTATACTGAGGCAATGAATGGCATACTCTGAAATAGAAAAGAAAATTCTCATAAAAAGTATCATATTATAAATAAAATATCAAAATTTAAACTTAGACTTCTGACATATCACTCTGAAAAAAGTATAATATATTTTTATTCTATTTGCAATACAATCTGAATTTGAATTTCAACTCGAGCCAAATACACTAAAGGACTCAACCACTTTAGACTGTACATGTTCAGTATATTTCACAAAGTCTGATGATAGATAAATATTTGTTGATAAAACAAACGGGTGAATGTTCGATTTCATTTTCAACAGAGGAATGAACAAATATTTTGTAGCAAGTCCAGTTTTTTACTATTTGCTTCAATTAAATTTAAAACGAAATTGAAAGGCTATGACATTGAATGACTATATGTACATGAACAAAATTCAGATTGAGAAGTATTATTTTTTATCATTTACTTAATATTTAAAAAGCACATTGTCATTTTTAAAATGATTAATATATATGTAGCCCTATACTTACGCTTCAAAGACTCATATATGTCATTTCCTTGGAATGCCCTCGTCCCATAACTAATAGCAAACTCTTCACGATCAAAGAAGCCGTCCATCTGCATTTTATTATCTCCCGTTCATCTGCTTTTTACCATCTCATCAGAGTTGCTGATTTTTACGTTCTGTCCTTTCTTTGCTGCTCTTTTCAGTTTTCTGCGAGATAACTAAGTAAAAGAAAAATAGTCTTCTGAAGTCACTTAGAATAAAAAAGAACATCATTTTTCATCGCATTCAAATGTGCAGATGAGCTCAGTGTGAAATAATGCAGATTTATGTTTTTGAAATAGGCTGTACGTATACATAGATATCCTCATAAACAATGCATGTACATTCGTGCATATTTTAAAACTTGTATCTTGTATCATAAATATTTTTCAATCCAAATCAAATGAATAAAAAAATGTTTAATTTAAATTAAGGTGGTGCCATTAGGGTGGGACGAATCGTCACTAAAATGGGGCGAGTCGTTATGGGGCGAATCGATCGTTATCCTTATCTGCACATTACTCCAGTAAATTTTTTTTTTGTCAACTTACTACATATGATATAGATCTAGAAGGTTTTTAACAAGAGCTGTCAGAAGGACAGCGCGCTCGACTTTTTTAGTGCTTGCCTATAAAACAAAACTTTGACAGTTAAGGGCACACAAGACTTTAACTAGGAATTTCTAAGTACAAATCAAGAAACATTTTCACAGAGTTATCTTCTCTTGCTTACAGATAGGTCTCATGATGGCACATAAGAACTCCAACTTCCAAAGTAATATCTCAAATGGTTAGGTCAACAAGTGGACAAGAATGAAAATTTTAACTGAGTTTCTAAGTCAAAAAGGGCCATAATTCAAATAAAATCCTTAACAGAATTACCTTCTCCTGCCCATGTTTGGGACCATGATGGTAAACAAGTATTCCAACTTTCAATTTAATATCTCAACCAGTTCAGTCAAAAAGTTGACTGGTACAAAAAACTTAACCAAGATTCTAAGTCGATAAAAGGCCTTAATTTTTAAAACAAATCCCTGACAGAGTTACCTTCTCTTGCGTACAGATGGGGGTAATGATGTGAAATAGCATTAAAAGTTTCAAAGCAATATCTCAAAGGGTTAAGGCAATAAGTGGATTTTACCCATATTCAATGTATTTTCTAAGTCAAAAAGGGGCATAATTCTGTCAAAAACCTTGACAGAGTTATGTCCTCTTGTCTGTTGATGAAGGTCGTGATGGTAAACAAGTATGGTCAGTTTCAAAGCAATACCTCCAATGGTTTTGAAATAAAGTGAGGTGGTACAAAAAACTTAACCAAGCTCAATACACTTTCTAAGTCAAAAAAGGGCCATAATTCTGTCAAAAACCTTGACAGAGTTATGTACTCTTGTCTGTAGATGGAGGTTATGATGGTGAACAAGTATGGTAAGTTTCAAAGCCATACTTGTAATACTTCTGAAATAAAGTGGGGTGGTACGAAAAACTTAACCAAGGTGTGACGCCAACGCTAACGCCGACGCCGACGCCGGGGCGAGTAGGATAGCTCCCCTTTTCATAGAAAAGTCGAGCTAAAAAACGCTATGTAGAACGAAAAGAAAATTTTGAACTTACCGTCTTTCAGTAGTCTAGATGACTTGATATTGTTTTTTATCCATATTTTTGTGTAATACCACAAGTTTTCATCTTCCAAAATAACCGCCTTTTTCCTATGCATAGAATTAATGCAAACGAAATGTTATTCCTAGCTACTATAGTATTGTATAAAGTTCCTAATTTTGCAGCTGCAATGACAAAATCTGTTGTAAGTTAGTTTGTTTCTGACATTAGTTATATCCAAAAGAAAGAAAACTGTTTGTATGGTAAGATATCTTTTTTTCTGAAATGGCAAAAAAATTTCGTTTCCTATTAATCTTGTTCTGTTGTCGGCTGATAGGGGGCGCTCGGTAGGCTGCAGTTCCCTGCAAGATCTTATCGTTTAATCGCGCGGCTGGGAGCCATGCTGTTTAAAACAATCAACTAACAACAGATGTTAAGTCCGAGAGAATTAAGTCACTTTTTTACGACATTTTACCTTTTTACGCATATACGTAAATCTATTCGACAGTTTTTTTACTGATAATGATAGATCTAATCATAAAAAGCCGTGGGTATGGATCAGATTGCGTATTAACAATAAGAAAGACAAAAACTGATCTTGATCACTCAAAAATAAAATCTACATGCAAATTAGTTAGACATATTTAACAGTAAAACGAGATTGTATAATTGACTCTTTTTTACGTTTTGCGCTGAGCATGGAATTAATAATATGGTGATGCTTAAACTAATTTATAAGAGACTTGAAAACCCCATTTATATTTTCCAGTGACTGATTAAAAACAAGTACGGTAATGAGTAAAGGGAAATTAAAAAAAAATGTGTATAGTTGATTATGAACAGTAAAACAAAAGGACCTACATCAATGAAAATTTCTGTTATAATTAAGCAAATTATGAACATCTGAAGTACAATGAATATGAATTGTATTGAATAAATACTGGAAAATCTCTGATTTTAATGAATCATGAACAACTTGTGAATATCTCAGAACTTTAAAGTGTAATGAATTTGTAATAAATGGTATTAAATGCAGTCGGGAAAAGTTCTATTTCCAATAAATCATGAATAAATTGTATACATTCCAGTTCAAGTGCAATGAATTTGCAATAAATTGTATTGAATATATCTTATGTTTGTAATCAATGGTTAATAAATCTGTCTTTTGTAATGAATCTATAATAAATGGGGTCTTTTCTTTCCAGTAAAAGCACAATTTATTTATGATTCATTTAATTAATCATGAACAAATTGTATTAACAAATCAGGAAAACATGATTTATTCCAGATTTATTCACAATTTTGATATAATTTGTTGATGTATTTTTTTGTTTGGGTTGTGTCGAAAATTTATTTAGCACCTTGTGCTTTTACGTAAGAATATTTAGGTTCAGTTAACACTTTAATTTTTTGCAAAAGTAAAAATCTCCATGGACTGATAAAGGTGCCTGCTATAATGTAATAAAGTCTAACCAGACCTGTCACCAAAATGCCCCTCCCACTTTCAAAATGCATGCAGGAACTTGAAATTCTGTCAATAATGGCAGTTAAGTCCTAATAAAAACAAAAATCCAATATGCAGATGGAATATATTTTTCAATCGGACATTACTGCTATAACTGACAGAATTTCAAGGTCCTGTGCAAAATTGATTATGAAAATGTCAAATGAGCTGTCAAGTGGCAAATTTCGTCATTGAATTCACGTCAAAGATACTTACTTTATAATAAATATCAAACTGGACATTTTCAGGTAAAGACTTAAGTTCCCTTCTATATTTAGAATATGTTGTAACTATTGCAGAAACTGCCATATTGTATAAAGAATCTGGAACCCATTCTAAGGCACAGGCGGAAGCCATATTGAATTCCTAATTTTTGTTGAAGTTGTCTCCCTTGTCTCGAGGAACATTAAATGAACTGAATGTATTTACACGGAAAGTTTAAGTAGCTTTTAATGTCACGAATTTAACAGAGACTTATCTTAAATAAATAGCTCTACTGTGATTAAAGTCGTGGACATATTAAGTATAGATCTAATTAAGAAGAGTTAAATGATGCATTTATTTCTATAATGAACAATGAAATATTAATTGATACATATACCACCGTGCATTATTTGTGACTATTACCGTGCATTATTTGAGACTATACTACCGTGCATTATTTGTGCCTATCACAGTGCATTATTTGTGGCTATCGCCGTGCATTATTTGTGACTATCACCGTGCACTATTTGTGACTATCGCTGTGCATTATTGTGAATATCGCCGTGCATTATTTGTGACTATCACCTTGCATTATTTGTGACTATCACCGTGCATTATTTGTGCCCATCACCGTGCATTATTTGTGACTATCAGTAATCACCATGCAATATCTGTTACTATCACAGAGCATTTTCTGTGACTATCACCATGCATTTTTGTGACCATCACCGTACGTGTATTATCTGAGACCGTCATCGTGCATTATTTTAGACTATTACCGTGCATTCTTATTTATTTTCACCGTGCATTATCTGAGACTATCACCGTGCATTATTTAAATTGTGACTATCATCATCCATTATCTTAGACTATCACTGTCCATTATTTGTGACTATCACCATGCATAATTTTGTGACTATCATAGTGCATTATCTGTGACTATCACCATCCATTATCTGTTATTATCACCGTGCATTATTTGTGCCCATCACCGTGCATTATTTGTGACTATCAATTATCACCATGCATTATCTGTAACTATCATCGAGCATTTTCTGTGATTATCACCATGCATTTTTGTGACTATCACTGCGCATTATTTGTGACCATCACCGTGTATTATCTGAGACTGTCATCGTGCATTATTTGAGACTATTTCCGTGCATTCTTTTTCATTTTCACCGTGCATTATCTGAGACTATCACCGTGCATTATTTGTGACTATCACCATCCATTATCTGAGACTATCACTGTGCATTATTTGTGACAATCACCGTGCACTATGTGTGACTGTCACCGTGCATTATCTGTGACCATCACCATGCATTATCTATGACCATCACCATGCATTATCTGTGACCATCACTATGCATTATTTGTGACTGTCAACGTGCAATATTTGTGACCATCACCGTGTATTATTTGTGACTATCACTATGCATTATTTGTGACTGTCACCGTGCATTTTTGTGACCATCACCGTGCATTATTTATGACCATCACAATGCAATATTTGTGAGTGTCACCGTGAATTTTTGTGACTGTCACCGTGCATTATCTGTGACTGTCACCATGCATTATTTGTGACCATCACCATGCATTATTTGTGAAAATCACCGTGCATTATCTGTGACTGTCACCGTGCATTTTTGTGACCATCACCGTGCATTATTTGTGACCAACACAATGCATTATTTGTGACTGTCACCGTGCATTTTTGTGACTGTCACCGTGCATGATCTGTGACCATCACCATGCATTATTTGTGACCATCACCATGCATTATTTGTGAAAATCACCGTGCATTATGTGTGACTGTCACCTTGCATTATTTGTAACCATCACCATGCATTATCTGTGACCATCACTATGCATTATTTGTGACCATCACCATGCATATTTTGTGACCATCACCATGCGTTATTTGTGACCATCATCATGTTTTATTTGTGACTGTCACCGTGAATTATTTGTGACCATCACCATGCATTATTTGTGACCATCACCATGCATTATTTGTAACTGTCACCATGCATTATTTGTGACCATCACCATGCATTATTTGTGAAAATCACCGTGCATTATTTGTGACCATCACCATGCATTATTTGTGACCATCACCATGCATTATTTGTGAAAATCACCGTGCATTATTTGTGACCATCACCGTGCATTATTTGTGGCTATCACCATGCATTACTTGTGACCATCACCATGCATTATTTGTGACCATCACCGTGCATTATTTGTTACTGTCACCGTGCATTATTTGTGACCATCACCATGCATTATTTGTAACTGTCACCGTGCATTATTTGTGACCATCACCATGCATTATTTGTGGCTATCACCATGCATTATTTGTGACCATCACCGTGCATTATTTGTGGCTATCACCATGCATTACTTGTGACCATCACCATGCATTATTTGTGACTGTCACCTTGCATTATTTGTGACCATCACCGTGCATTATTTGTGGCTATCACCATGTATTATTAATGACCATCACCATGCATTATTTGTGACTGTCACCGTGCATTATTTGTGACCATCACCGTGCATTATCTGTGACTATCACCGCGCATTATTAGAGACTATCACCATGCATTATTTGAGACTATCACCGTGCATTCATTGTGACTATCATGTGCATTCATTGTGACTATCACCGCGCATTATTTGTGACTACTATCGTGCATTATTTGTGACTATCATCATGCGTTATTTGAGACAATAACTATTAGATACGGATATCGCCGCGCACTTAGTGAGATATACTGTATTCCTGGAGACGACCACCGTTCATAATTGGAGACTATCACCGCGCATTATTTGAGAAAAAAAATATTAGATAAGGCTATCACCGTGGGTTTACTCAGCTAAACTGTATTACTTGAGATGATCGCCGTGCATTATTTGAGACTATCACCGCGCATTATTTGAGACAAGAACTATTAGATACTAATATAGGGTCATCAACACGGAGCTTAACTGAATTACTTGAGACTACCACCTCATGACATCTGTTCTTGAAATGGCACGATCTTTTATTTCCTCTACACAATGAATACATAATCTAAAGCGACGTAATAATGACTTGAAAAATTCTTTTAAAATGTAATTTTTCACAATGCACTATGTATCGTCTTTGTTTTGTTTGGTTTTTACACCGATTTCAACCCATTTTCGGTTCATCTAACCCGTTTTCCATGACAATTTACTTTCTCAGCACATGCCGATTACTAATTTTATCTGTATGGTAATTGATTAATGAGAAACAAATGGCCATTAGATTGAATAGAAGGAGAAATTTCGCCTCGTTCGAGGATTGAACCAGATCACAAATCCAATTTGATGTTGTCTCTTGGGCTAAGCATTCTTCAACATGTAACATTTTTACACAGGAGTTCCGCGCGTTGTTTGGTCAATGTACCTTTATTTATTTTATTTTATTGCAAAGTGACCGATCAACGTACCAAACACCATGACGTTGGCCTGCACTAGTCAAAGAGATTGACTCAGTTGCCGCCACCAGGGCAAGGTTTCAATGAGAAAGAGTGTTATTTTGAATGTGGTATGGAATGATTAGATTTTGCGTTTTGTTATTTGAACTACACAAAATCCAAATAAATTTATCCTCTTTTTTCCCTTTGTTTGATTTTGTCCGATATACAGAAAAGAACTACTTTTCTTAAATTATTTTTGCATATCAGACTGGCGTGTCCGTTAGTTTTACCCATGCCGGAAATTTAATATGGCATGGGGGTGCCAGATAAGTCGCGTGTTGTACAATGACACGCTCAGGCAAGCCTCGTTGCCGCCCTCGGGATGGATATTCCAAACCGAACCGCAACATATATGACATATATCATTATTCTTGTATATCAGACTAGCGTTTCCGTTAGTTTTACCCATGCTGGAAATTTCATCTGGCATGGGAGTGCCAGATGAGTCGCTGGCATGCTTATGATGACGTAATTTTACCGTTATGAATGAAGTTGTAATTTCATACGTTGTTGGAAGAAAACAATTTCGGATGTTATGACATAAATTTTCATGGAAAATTGTTTTATTGAGGTGAAGAGTTTGAAATATAATAAAATATGGTAGAATATGCAAGAAAAATTATCTGACATTTTTGCAAGCCTCGTTACCGCCCAATGGGTGGGTCCCCCAGCTCGGATATTCCAATCAGAGCCGCAACATATGACACTCACAGATATTAAGGCCCTGTCACACCAGACTGCACTTTCACTGCGTTTGCACGGCGTTGTAAAATTTAACAAAGCGCCACGAGATCGCAATAAAACATGTTATATATTTGATGACATGAAGACTTCACGGAGTCCCTACGGCGATCAGCTTTCACGGCGTTTTAATTGACGATTGTCTTCGTTCAGATCGCGCTTCTACGACGTTCTTTGCGCTTACACTGCACATTTACGGCGCTCATACGGCGCTCTCGCGGCATTCACACTGCGCTGAAATCGTAAAGCTCTGTAAAAGCGCCGTGCACACGCAGTATAAGCGCGGTAAAGACGCCGCACAAACTCCGTAGAAGCGTCGTGGATAACCACCGCGTTCATTCGGCGTTCCTTTTGCGCTTTCACGGCGCTCCTGTTGCCTTGTAGGAGATGCTAATGAGTTGCTATGGCGTCCTATCTGCGATCCCACTGCGCTCATTTTAGAACGCCGAGTGACGGCGTTTGTTTTGAACATGCTCAAAATGCGCGCCGTCGGTCGGCGTTCTATGCGATGCCACTACGATGCAACGGCGATGCTGCGGCGATGTTTGCGATCTTACTGCGCTCACCTCGGCGTTCTGAAGTTTCATTGGACGCAGTGAGAACGTCGTCCTAGTGTGACAGGGGTTTAATTGATATAGTATTTATACACACGTATCTGCAATGACGTTGCCATAACTTTAGATCTAAGTGAGGTGTATGAAACGCCTGGGCAATGCTAAATAGAGTCATCGTCCGTCGGATATCCGGCACATAGTCGACCGATATGAAGGCCTTGAATGAAACACTTGGGACTTTATGATGGCATCTCAGTTGATTCAACGGTTTTGATACGGACAATGTTTCCTAATTTTTGACAGCTGCTGCCCGTTATACTCGGACAACAAAGGATCCGACCCCCTGTCAAAAATCCTATTCATTTAGTTCCGCTCAGTGTTTTTCTCATTTTAGGCCCATTCTTTTACTTGGGGTCCATACGCCATTTTTGATGGGTTGGCACGAAATCGAAACATTGATAGTTCCTCGATAATTGCCGTAAGAATACATCTGCGTATGTTACTAAATTTCCATACTTAAATGATATACTTTTTGCCTAAGTCGGTGCTAGGGGGCTCAGATAGCAGTTTTCGTTACCAGTACCGTCCATGAACAGAGTCAGTGAAATATGTTCAGTGGCGGAGTGGTCGAGTGATGAACGCGTCGGACTAGTAATCTAAGTTTTGCTGGCCGAGTAGGTTCAAACCCCGTCATGGGCAAGCCGTTGTTTCCGTGAGCAAGATACTTAACATTCATTGCTTAGTACTGGTTGGTTCCAAGAACGGATTCGAGAGTGTTCCAATAAGCGTATAGCTTCTAACACAATCAAACTATAATAAATTAGTATAAACTAAACTAATCATGTTCAATTTAGTCGTGATGTGCTTTTATAAAGGTTTCCATTTTATCTTTTTCAGTTTTCGAAAAAAAAACAAAGTGAAATGGCACGTGGAATTGTTCCAATCATCTAAATGATGTCAATATAATGACGAATGTTCTTAATATTCCCCCACCCCTCACCCCATAATAAAAAGCAATATACGTCTGCACTGAGATTGATTTATTTTACAATAGATATAATTTGACCAGTACTAGAATTCTATTTCTGGAATTTGCTTTCTTGCATATTTTATAAAATTTCACAAAGGATACCCTCCATTTTGTATGAAACTCCGATTTCAACATAGCTTTTAATATACAATGCGTTTGAAAGATCCTGTAACTCAACTTTTTACGGTTTTATTTCATAAATATGATGCTGGATTGAAGAATTTTCGATATTGTAAGTTCGAAAAAGCATTATTTGTAAAGATATAAACACATTTAAATTTGGGAGGTAGTTAGAAATTTATTTTCGATTAAGTCTAAACCAAATGTTTCAATACGAATTAAATGGATATACTTTAATGATTACATATAATGCGTATAAACATTTGCAGTACATATTAAACATATTCTTGGATGTTTTGGAATTGTTTCAGAAGAATAAGTACATATATATGCATATATAAACTTTTACTTAAGTATGGTTACATCCAACAAGATCTTTTATGAAAAGGGCTGCGATGAATGCAAAAGGGTAAAACAACAACAATAACAACAACTTTTTTGTTATTTCTGTTTAATTAACAAAAGCAGAAGAAATAAGCGACTTCTTTAATATACAGTTGTCATGTTAATTTTCAGCATTCTGTAAGTTACGACTCAACTTACAATAAATAATACATGTACTCGTCTTTAAGACGGCGAAACGAAAAACATGTACATATTAATGCTAAATATACTAGTAATTATCATTGATCCCACAAAAGCTAGTTAGCCAACGCAACCATTTCTGTTGTGTACTAGTATTTATCAAAACTTCTCTCAGCAGTTGCTGAATCAAAAACATGCTTAAGCTTAGTACATGTATATGTTAATATGCGATGTTTTATGAAACCAAAGCATCGGGTGAGCTTAATATTAATAATATTAACATTAATAAAATATGTTATATATTAATGATAATAATAATATCTGCCTGTAACAATAATGACATTAGTCAGATATTCGATCTCCGATTTTAATTCGAACTTAACTGTCACTATCAACTTAATACGATGCTAATGTGGTAATGTTTAATTTAAAAGTAAATACAATTCCTTTAGTATAAAAATAATTCTTCAAACTTCATAAATATGTTTTTATAAAGAAGTACCAATGGGTATGCAAGTGCAAAAATACAAAACAAACCCAATCCATTTGAATGCAGTCAGTATATAATAAAGCAAACAGAAAATACACACATTATGTAAAAATGTATTAAAAGTACAAATATGTATAATAAAAATACGAGTAGAAATTCGTTCAATACTTCAATGCAAGCGATTCGTTGCCATAAAGGACATGCACAGCCATACATCGCTGTGTATTCAATCTAAACAAACATTGTCCATAACAGTTTATCAATCAATGAAAGCGACACAAATAAACTATTCAATATGTCATCGTAATTGTTGGACGAAGTTAGTAGACTTGTTCCCCCTTTCTTGGCATTATGACATGGTATATGTGAACAGTATCACCTCCTACAAGAAGAAATCAAGTCATTGATTAACGATGGAATCAATTTCCAAGAAAGCATTAAAATTTATTATGTGGATTCAAGGTAAGAAAAATATAAGCGTAGAATAACATAATATTTTGTTCTTTGCTTAGCAAGACCAATACATTTGATCAAATTCCTGACAATATTATTAAGCGATTCAAGCAATTCACCAAGGAGATGTAAAATCAATCTAGATTAACAAATTTTCATTTTTCAAACATGTTAATTGGTAGGAGCAAATTCGGTGGTTTTTTTTTCCTGATTTCTTTCTTTATAGGTGACTGATATGATCGAATTTGAAACACAAAATCATTGAATTTGTTATTCATCAAAATTCAAATGAAAATTTATATAACGTATCTTTAAGGAGAGTCTTTTAACGAGAGAATGCAACATGATCTCTGTGCCCCCTAGCACCTATTTAAATTGGTATTCAATCAATGAGCACTTAGGACATTCAAATATTTTTACACTGTCGTGACTATGTTATTTTTTTAAGATTATGATAAGGAAGGCAAATAAAAACTTATATCAATAAAAGAAAGTTCGACAAAAAATCCGTAAAATCTTGTATTAAATAGCTGGTCATTTACCGTTTTTATGTCAAATGTCATGTTTGAAAACACCTAACACCGCGAGTATCATGCTTACAAACATAACTTAATGCATTGTTTAACAAGGATTTTTTCTAATTAGCAGTGTATTAACAAATCCTTACCAATCCATTTTCGTCATTTACTTTCACTTTACCGTTGCCTGTACCCCATGACTTGCAATTTGCTACAAGATCACCTGCTGCTTTTTTGTCAGCACCGGCTTTTGAGCATATCTAAAATAGAACATACGTAAATTGTTTTATCAAATTATGACATGACATTTGACCGAAAACTGAGAAATGCAAAGCTGTCTCTTGATGAATTTATTTTATATCTACAATACCCATTTAACTAAAATATCAGATCATCGATCGGAATAATAAACTCTTATGGAATTGTAGATGATTCTACAAGTAACACTTTTCTGACTAACGTATGTTTATTTGGTCTTCAATATCATTGTGCTTTCTACTCTCTGACACATTCACGATAATTAATTTTGTTTGGCCCTTTTATGAAACAACAGAGCATACTACAGGATAAGTAATAGAAAGAGCACCGAAACACGAGGCTATCTGATTTGTACGAGGGGACGTAGCCCCCGAGTATTAATCAGATTGCCGAGTGTTTTGGTGTTCTTTCTCTTTTGTATCATAGTCAAACATAAAAGCACGTTCCCTGTTGTCACAATATGAAACCCCGGCAAAAATGAACCAATGAACGAACATCTGAATATGACATTTCGGTCGCTTTCTCTCTCTCTGCCGTCACAATATGTAAACCCCAGCAAAAATGAGCCAATCATTGGGCATGCTCTGGAGTGCGGGTAACGTGCGGGTATTAGTATGTATACGATTTAACCCTGACACATTTTCAACAGAAAGGTCTCCAAACTATGATACAATATATCATTATGTTTCAATGTGTGAAGAAAAGTATCAAATATGATGAAGTGCAGCCCGACACCGCCCCAGGTTAACAAACTCATTGTTAATCTGCTAATGAGCATGTAAATTAAAGGTATGTCTCCACACTACCGTATTACAAAAACAGTTGGAGCAGCAAAGAAATGCATCATAACTGTTCAAATTATATGATGATAAATTTCTCATTAGTTGAGGGTAGACAAGAAACTTCGATCTTTCTTACCTTAATTTCCTTATCCGCGCCAATTTTTGTTCCCTGTGGTATCTTGAACTGAGCCGTACCTTTTGGATGAACCCTTTCTATTGTCCAGTTTGATAAATCAACCTCCTGTGTCTGAAATGTAACCATGAAAACGATAATTATGTTATCATTCAAATATAATTTATGTTTATTGATATTTTAATACATTGAACTTGTAGGACGCAACTTGCTATCATGTTTATTTCTTTGCCTGAAAAACGTTCCAAAGTTTCAACAAATGTTTCTTAAAGCGGTTACATCGTTCGCACTAATAAAAACAAGTGCATAGCAATATACCCCTACTTCTTCGGGGGGGGGGGGGGGGGAGGGAGGAGGGGGGACAATAATGCAAAATATGATATCACTAATGAATATAAGAGAAAACAAAAGTAAAACAAAAAAGATGCACAAAGGATAACTGAGGTACATACAAAAGTCAAAATATTTATGACACAAATAGCATTGCATTTTGGCAATTGTCTAATTCATTAATTTAAAAAAGGATGCATATATTTGATTTTAGATGAAACAGGTAGACATTTTCAAAATAGTATTCATGAATAGCTTTACCTTTGAAGTGTTGTGGAATAGGAGATAACTTCCTGTGGATTCGACGTCCTTGATGTTCATGGGTGTGGACATGCGTACAGATTCGGAAGATTGTGTAGACACTACATTGGTAACTTTGTAATATATATGTAAGATTAAGATGTAAGATAAGAAATACCAAAGTCAAAATATTTTTCATACAATTAGCATTTTGGCGATTATCTATTTTCATTTAAAAAGATGTATATATCTAATTTTAGTTGAAAAAGAATAAAGGTGAGCATTTTATGTAGAATTTTATATTCATGTTTAACCATTCTATTTTTCTACGTAGAAACTGATGAAAATTTGCTACGAAAGTAAGAGAGACCTACACGAAGTACTTGATGTTTTCACAACGCCACTGCTACCTGTCACTACGCTGCTACTCGCTGACGATTCCGATTTCTTTTCTCCACTTTTTACCACGACATTTTCGGCTTTCTTTTCTTCCAAGACAGCTGCGTTCAATCTGTAAGTGTTGGAAATTTGGAATGATTTAAAGAAGCTGACGAAAGACATGTTATCACTTAAATTGTTAACCCTATCCGACTTTGGAAAAAAAATTACCGAAAAATGGAAATCTAAAATAATGTTATTGCACGATGGATGATCTTACTACAAACGGTCAAGAAATTAGAGTAGTGTGAAAAGTGTCGTGTTGCTGTTAATTAAGAGGTAAGTCAACTTGCAATGGTTTTTGCTCGTTTGGAAAGAGTAAACGCGGACGTTAAAACAGTTCGTACTATAACGATCAGACATAAAGACACACATAGTACCTTGTAATCTTATCGGAAATCACATTTATTGGTAAAATTTCATAGTGAGAAATGCATGTAGTTAGAACAAACAAGGCATTGGGATAAACGATAAATGTTATAAACGGTTTTAATACATTGGCAAAACCTAGATAGATATCATAGTCACACAAATTCATTTGTCACTTGAAAAATATGATGCAGTAAATATTTATATATCAAATCTAATTACTCAGCTTTTCCGTCCAGAAGTTTTCTGTAGGTGGAGATTTCAAGATCTAAAGTGTCGGTGCGCACGCTGCTGAAACGTGCCATTAGTGCGCGAAGTTCACCCTCAAGCTCACTGACCCGCGTCTGAAGCTCTGACCGTTCTCTATCAAAATAGCTACACTCCTCCTCATAACGCATGCGCATCTCAGACATTTCTGTTTCCAGCCGTTTGTTCTATGAGAATAAAACATTTTATATAGTTAATTATTCCTCAAGTGTTGAAGACAATTTTTCGTCATACATGTATACGTCTTTAAAGTCATACATAAACTGCATAGAAGACAATGACGTTATATATGTTGTAATAGATTCTATGAATAAAAAGATCAACTGTACACTGTAATTTGTAATCACGTATAACATAATGCTTCCTCTTCATAACGCATGCGCATTTCAGACATTTCCAGCCGTTTAATTGTTCCAAAAACATAAAATATGCTTCTCAAGTAAATTTATACCAAGTGTTGAATGCAAACTTTCAACATGTATATCTTTAGATTAAATGGGTAAAAGTTTGATGTATTAAATTGTATATATAGTAGATTTCATAATGTTTATCTTTTAATTAATAGATCAAACTGCATATTGTTATTTTGTTATCCAAGGTAACATTATGTTTCCATTATATTTACAACCTGCATAATCAAAGCTCATAATGGTCGTGTCATTGTTAATTAAGACATTGCATTGATGCTGCTTTGATATAATTTACTAGAAATGTTATACGGATGGATCTATGCAGACGAATTCTAACCAAACTGGAACAGTTTTGTAAAAAATGCGTTTGGTTTCTGATTTAAAAAAAATCCACCGTTAAAGTAACATATTTTTTTACAAAAGCGTCAATTTTGTTGGTATCCATTAACTTTGTATTGCAACATTTAGAACATGTTTTAGTATGAGTACTGTATTTGGATAGCTTTAACGTACATTTAATTAAATGGTAAAAGGTCAGAAAACATCAACATTCCTGTCACAGAGAGCCGACATTTCGAAAGCATATCAGAAGCGTTGAAATATACATGTATATAAGATATGATTTTAGCCTCGGTGGAAAAAAAGTGATAGAAAATACGCTTTGTTTTACTAACTTGCGCAACAAACTTAAGTACACCACAGCGCATGCGCACACATTGAAACCGTCAAAGCAAAAAGTGTTGAAAATGACAATTATTAAAGAACAAAATGGTTTAGTAGGCAGTTGATGAAGATGAAATAGAACCTTATAATGTGAATGCAATTAATTCTTACGAATAAAAAAACGTCTAAGGTACATTTTGCCTCAGATTAGAAATCATTTTTACATACAATAATTACAAAAGTTTTGTATAATGTTTTAATAAGGATTATTAGTATTAAATAAAAAAATCTTTGAAAGTTGTGTTTCATTCTTGTACATTAAAACAGTTTGTTAAATGAGTAAAACTGTTCTTGGGATTGAATACATTTTTCACCAGAGATATGCATTGCTCATTGATCACACTAACCAGATCTTCTCTGCAGAAAAGCAGAGACGTAGTTATTTCTGTCCCACATAAGACATGGTCTACATTAAATCATCTGAACTCTTATGAACAGAAAACTGAAGTAAAAAAGAAAATATTAAAAAAAAATGTGACTGCATAGTTTATGGAACACCCACGCGCGTCTATATTAGCAACATTCTCCGCCAGTGCTTGCTTACGGAACACCTACCCATGGCCCTAAGCATCAAAATGAGGTTAAACAGATGTAAATGTAGAAAAGTTCTTACATGTTTCCAAATATATAACTGTATGAAATAAAATGTGCAATACAGATTTACTACAAGTGTTTGGACACAAATGCGATGATAAAGGCAAAGAAAATCAACGTGAACACACTCCTAAGAAGGTAATAAAAGCAGAAACTACCAAAACTAATGATAATAATTTGGCTCACTAGAAAACGACAAAAGGGATCATGACCGGGTATAAGCAAATGTCTCGATACACATATACAAATATAACTGCAGCAAATAGAGGGGTATATTACCTGTACTTCGTGTGAACCCTGCTGTTCAGCTCTCAGCTTGGCCAGTTGACCATTGTATTCGGCTTGTATAGCCTTGATACATTCACTAAACTCGTTTCTGTGAACTTCCTCTAGATTGGGTTGTACAAATTCAAATGTAGACAGCAATCCACGAAGCTCACGAATTTCCTGAAAATGGTATGATTCATATTATTATCTTTGTATAAATGAAAAAGGTCAAAACACATATTTTCAAGAATGCCTGAGAAAAATTTGGATCACTGTCAATGAACGAAATCAAATTCACTCACATTAAAAATGGAAAAGGACAGAAGGGGTATTGAGGAAAACATTTGTTACAGTTTTCAAATAATGTTAATTTTGTGTATATTGTATTTCTCCATTATCTATTTTTGTTGCTGTTTCTAAATCGTTAGCTTTTAAAGTAAAAGAATTTGAAATTTGACTATCTGAAATTGTACATAGGTCAAATAAATGCTTACTTTCCGTCCTTAAAGCTACTTACCGAATATAAACATTTGTTTCACAGACGAGAATGATAAGGAAGATGCACACTTACAGCATGTAATGTTATTTCCAAGTACTTCCTTTCTTCCGCTAGGTTATCACACTCGTTTTGTGCCTTTATTTGCCTTGTCAAAGCTATTTCCATTTCCTGTAATGGTCAAATACAAATTATCAATGTTTGTTTCATGTTCGAGGTGGGGCACTATTATTTGTATTATACATGCAGATGACACTATACTAGTTGTCAGTAGAACATTTGACTCTTCTACGTTATCTTTTATCTAAAAAAAAATGTTATCCTTTCAAAAAAAAAACTTTTGGGAGAGGACACTCATAAGCTTTCATAGCTTTCTGCCCAATCCCAAAATGTATTATGTAAATACTATTCATCATACATAATGTAAATGCATCGAATAAATATATTTAAACCAAAAATAAGTTATCCTTTCTAAAATACGTTAACCATTCACAAATACGTTATCCTTTCAAAAATATAATATTTCTTTATTCACATCTACCTGTACTATATTATCTAATGTAATATTTGTATGTGTAATATCAGGTGGGTGCGAAAATTGACTTTCAACAACGGTTATGTCAGCTTCATGGGTTGTATTCTTAAAATACTTAAGAAAGCGGACAAACCCCACTTTAATAAGGTAAAGAACTATATTTATGTACATCGTAACATCATTTAAAACATTAACAATCCTTTTATTGAATCTTTAGGTAAAGATAAATAGCTTGTATTATATGAGACACTTACACTTCTTATTCTATCATTGTCCGTTCTAATACGTTTGTTATCTTGTCTTATTTCTTGAATTTGATTTTTAAGCACGACATATTCTCCGTTTAGTTCACCAATGGTACGGTCCTTCTTTTGTGATGCAACCAGTAACTCCTCTATCTTCCTTTTCAGGGATGATATTCTGTGAAAACAATAGAACATTCTTGCTAAATTGATTAATACGTGTGTCGTCAATTAAATAGGTAAAGCGGATAAATATCCGTCGACCTTGTTGAAGAGACACACAAAATATTAAAACTACTAATGGGGCAACCATTAATTGTTTTGGGGTGTATGGATGTGTAGCATGCTGAATTAAGACTGCTGCCTGCCTATATTTATTTATATACTGGTAAAGGATATTAAAAGTATCCTTTTATAGCATTTTAATGGTCAAGTGTATATACTTTATTTGTGACAATCAGCATTCTTTTGTACCTGTACTTTTTATTTTAGCAACTGTCAATGCGAATAGATTCACCTTTTTTAGACCAACATAATTTGCTGGTAACCCTTCATGTATTGTGGCTGATGAATAACTCGTTGATATTTATAAATAGGTCTATAACTTTGTCATTTTATACAATTTTGAAGCAATTCTATTAAGAAAAAAAGACGATTTAATATAGAACTATGAAAACTATTATCGGACTAAATGTATATATTTGATGTAAAATTTGTATAATTATAATGTTAACAGTATTGAATGTATAAAGAATATGAGGTTTTGGTCCTTACTCCGAATCTTTCATCTCTAGAGTCTGTTCCAAAGATACCACTCTTGCTTTTAATGGAGCCACATCTTCAGACATTTGGATAATTTTCACTTTTGACTCTTCTATTTCTATGCTATACTCCTCTCTTATTCTACCCTGAGTTTGCAGGAATGCTTCTTTGAGGCGTTCGATCTCTTCAAGGAGATGTTTATTTGTTGCCTCTTTTGACCTCACCGTGACGATGTAACTTGCTAACTTTGCGTTGAGTTCGTCTAAATCTTTGCGCTCTTTATCAACAGAGCTCATCATGCTCTTCATGACCTTTTCCGCGTCAGCCTCTGTGACCTTCATTTTGATTGGTGAGCTGAATGACCTTGACACATTGACATGTCTGGCGTATACAGAAGCGACTGAATTGGATCCGCTATAAGAACTTTGAGAGGAGCTCGACCAGGACCTGTCAAGGTCATATTTTCTACCTACGTCAAATGTTGTCGTCATATTGTATCGGTTGAAATTAATTCTGGAAATGAATAAAACACACTGCATAGGGGTAAATATTTAATAAAGTTTTATATTATAACAAAATATTGAAATGAGCTTACGGAGGGAAAGCCACTAACCCGCTTTATGATGCGGTGTGCATCGGAATTTAACTTGCAAGCTTAGCACTTTTAAAATGACTTTAATGAGCTTCTTTCTCTCGGTCGCCAACTAACAATAATATGCAAAAAAAATCTTGTTGACAGTGCGAACATAAATATCAAATGTACTTCAGTTGACACTATTTGTTAAATGCTCAATAAATGATACATATTAATACAAAAGAAAGAAACACTTCTTTAATTTTCTTTATTTTAATGAGCATGCAAAGCTAGAACGAGTAACTGAGCAACGATGTCAAACATTCTCATCTTAGACAGTTAGTGATTTTGCCCAAGAATTTGCCACGTAAAACAAGTCTTTTAGAGCAAACAACTAACTTATTTGCCATCGAAATTATTGCTCAAATAAGGATATTTTTTATTGTTGTTGTTTTTTCTTATCTAAACTTCATTGCATTTAAGTTGAGCATGAAAATAGATGTCAAAACATAAATATGAACCGTGTGGCTGTACTTAGAAGGATCACACAATTATATAGCAAAAAATCAAAGGGTCGGATTGACGGATAAGCATAAATGTGAGAATACGCATAAACATTGGTACATACAATAATTAATACTAATAAATATTACTATTGCCAGGCAATTATATTCACCTCTTTCAAATCTTAAGTTTGCATACGATTTATATACGTGCACGTTCAATTAAAATAAAATTGAAATTGTTTCTGTGTGTAGCCGATGACATGCTTTTTTGTGGGTGTTTGACAAATTTATCATGTTTAATCAAATTGATAAAACGATTTTCTTAAGTAATATCAGTAACGTAATGTGATAGCTACTGTTCATTTGCTCTTAATTTTTTATTCATCAGAAATCTCGAGCTGCCATGTGATTAGCAAATATATGCATGCCATGGAAAACACAAGTGGTGTACAAATACATTTAGGCAACTGCCGTGGGCGTCGAGATAACCCGGACTATTTACTTTCTGTGATTAAAAAATCAAGTAATAATAAATCAAGATTCGCTTTTCAAATGCATTAATCTCATCTCACTTTTTGAACTTTTCTACACCAGCAAATTCTGATACAGTGAATGAACAAATTCATTGAAGATGATTTAAATATATAACTTTATTTAATTAAAAACTAAAAACATTAAAAATTAATATGAAAGTGGGGTGAGTCAAAACTCATATTTGAGCCGCGCAATGACAAAACCAACGAAATGGGTTTGCGACCAGCATGGATTCAGGCCAGCCTGCGCATCCGCGCAGTTTGTTCAGGATCCATGATGTTCGCTTACAAACCCTATTACAAGTAGAGAAACTGATAGCAAACAGCATGGATCCTGATCAGATTGCGCGGATGCGCAGGCTGGTCTGGATTCATGCTGGTCGCAAACCACTATGTTGGTTTTATCATTGATCGACTCATTTATTTTTTGGACAACTTTTTCAGGTGATTTTTCTCTGGCAGTCAGTAGCTTCAGCTATTCATTTCATGGGCAGTAAATTATCTGGCTATGTTTTTCAAGACAGTTCAAGGTGGCTGTAATTTTGTGTTAAACCTTGTGAAAATATATGGACTTTTATCATGTTATGGAAAAGATATTCCATATCTGGCTTAAACGAAAAAAAACCCTCTTACTAAATAAAACCTATGGACATTATATGTTAAGCATATTTGTCATTACCCCCCCCCCCCGCACCGCAAGTCACCGTTAAAATACCGAACAGATCAAAAGTAGCAAAATACAGACACAAATTAAGAGAAATCAAATTATGAAAAATAAACATTCAGGTCTAATCGGCAAAACGTACAGTGGCATACTTTGAGTTTGAAAAAGTGATTAGCTGATCATTTTATATTGAAATGTCGTTAAGACAGTGTAAACAGTGCAAAAGATAAATTACAACACTAACCAAGATTGCAAGAGTACAAAGGTATCATTTTCTCATTTAAGTGAGTAAACGCTGTGCAATTCAAACATGCACTTGAATCCGATATATAAAACACTTATTTCTGTTCAAACATGAAAATGTTCGTACATGTACTTAATCTTTTCGCAAAACTATAAGCGGAAAGAAAATCATATGGGTTTAGAGTACCGACTAAATCTTTTGCACAATATCCTTCAACATGAATGTTTTAAGCAGGTACGCCCGTTGTCATTAAGTCCCCGACTCTAAAATTTATACTTGCGGTGAAGACAATAACCCTGGTACCTACGACGAAAGATGTATTTATTATACACGTGATAAAGGTTACGATATCTAATATGTGTGCCACGTAATAAAGGTTACGATAGCTAATACGTGTGCCACGTGATAAAAGTTACGATAGCTAATACGTGTACCACGTGATAAAGGTTACGATAGCTTATACGTGTACCACGTGATAAAGGTTACGATAGCTAATATGTGTGCCACGTAATAAAGGTTACGATAGCTAAAACGTGTACCACGTGATAAAGGTTACGATAGCATATACGTGTACCACGTGATAAAAGTTACGATAGCTAATATGTGTGCCACGTAATAAAGGTTACGATAGCTAATACGTGTACAACGTGATAAAGGTTATGATAGCTAATACGTGTGCCACGTGATAAAAGTTACGATAGCTAATACGTGTGCCACGTGATAAAAGTTACGATAGCTAATACGCTTGTCACGTGATAAAGGTTACACTAGTTAAAACGTAGGGGTAAGAAAAAGAAAGGCACAATAGCTGAGACATCCTATCTAAATAACCTTGTAAATAACCTTGTAAATAACCTTGTAAATAACCTTGTCAATAACATTGTAAAGGACACAATAACTTTACAGTAGCTGATACGTGTGACAAGGAGCAAGCACACCAGAAAGACTCAATAGCTAAGACCTGCTATGTAAATATTTTTGTAAATGACACGACAGCTCTGTGTGAGGTATAAGGGCCTGACACGTGCTGTGACTCAACTACTGATACGTGCAATATAGAACACAATCTCTGGAAAATGTGATATAAATGACACAAAAACTGATTAAAGGGCACAATTTCGGAAAATATATCATATATGCTGTCACAATAACAAATGTTTGTACATGTAGTAAGAAGGGGAATTATCTAAAACATGCTCTTCACGACCCTATCACTGTTTCATGGTAAAATTTAAAAAAAAAAAACATGTTTTGCTTATTATTTAACACAGGATAAATTGTCTATCTTGAAATCACATGATTTATATGACTCAAGGAAAAAGACTGCAATCATGTATATAGTATATAGCTTGGTTTAATCAGATGAAAAATATCCCCGACACTAACATTCATTTATGCGTCTTGATACATGAATCATAATAATATTAGTTTAAGGACAAGGTTCTTTAGAGAGAAAGCTTAATCTTGACCAAAACCATTGTACTGCCACAAAATAACATATTTCATATTCTTTGAGAAAGTCTTATTATTGAAATGAGTTTCTATTTTCTTTGAACAAAATTTATACAATTTCGGACCTGTCAGAAAATAAAATCATTCTATCTATTCAAGTAATAGAGTTGAGAGCGCTTGCGATTAGGCGTGAACGGAGATTAGTCAAACTTTTGATATGTATATATGAGCCGCGTCACGACAAAACCAACATAATGGGTTTGCGACCAGCATGGATCAGACCAGCCTGCGCATCCGCGCTGTCTGATCAGGATCCATGCTGTTCGCTATCAGTTTCTCTACTTGCAATAGGTTTGGTAAGCGAACATCATAGATCCTGACCAGACTGCGCGGATGAGCAGGCTGGTCTGGATCCATGCTGGTCGCAAACCCATTATGTTGGTTTTGTCGTGACGCGGCTCATATATTTCGTATTCAAATCAACTTGTCAACGAAACAATGAGCATACTGTCAAATAATTTGATTCATTTAAAGTGAAAAGCATTTTAACAGAGTAAGTGCTTCCTAGTGCGAAATTCGAAAATCAATTGGTATTTTATTTGTTATCTGTGATAAAAAAAAAAGAATAGAAAAATGTCGTTTGTAACCTGGCCAATTATCTATAATAGATTGTAATCTAGCGTCAAGAACTGAATTAGATATTATTATTTAAATTCTTGATAAAATTTAAACATTTATTTCTTATCGAAAAAAGATTCCCAAATATTCGTGTGTGAAACATGACAATGAGAAAAATAAAATCACGTACCGTCATGCAGTAATGCAAACTAATGCAACTACTGTGTTCAATCATGTAGTAAAGTCAAATCAGACATAATTATACTGCGTACTATATCATGCAGCATTGTACAGTCAGACATATACTGCGTACTATATCTTGCACCAATGCAAACTCAGACAAGTACTGTGTACCGTTATGCAGCAACGCAAACTTAGAAATATACTGTGTACAATCATGCGGCAATGCAAAATCAGACATATTCTGTGTATCGTCATGCAGCAATGCAAAATCAGACATATACTGTGTACCGCCATGCAGCTGTGTACTATCATGCAGCAATGCAAAATCAGACATATACTGTGTACCGTCATGCAGCAATGCAAAATCGGACATATACTGTGTACCGCCATGCAGCAATGCAAAATCAGACATATACTGTGTACCGTCATGCAGCAATGCAAAATCAGACATATACTGTGTACCGTCATGCAGCAATGCAAAATCAGACATATACTGTGTATCGTCATGCAGCAATGCAAAATCAGACATATACTGTGTATCGTCATGCAGCAATGCAAAATCAGACATATACTGTGTGCCGTCACGCAGCAATGCAAACTTAGACAGTATACTGTATACCGTCATGCAGCAATGCAAAATCAGACATATACTGTGTACTGTCATGCAGCAATGCAAAATCAGACATATACTGTGTACTGTCATGCAGCAATGCAAAATCAGACATATACTGCGTATACCGTCATGCAGCAATGCAAAATCAGACATATACTGTGTACCGTCACGCAGAAATGCTAAGTCAGAAATATACTGTGTAAAGTCACGCAGCAATGCAAAATCAGACATTTACTGTGTACGGTCATGCAGCAATGCAAAATCAGACATTATACTGTGTATCGTCATGCAGCAATGCAAAATCAGACATATACTGTGTGCCGTCACGCAGCAATGCAAAATCAGACATATACTGTGTACCGTCACGCAGAAATGCTAAGTCAGAAATATACTGTGTAAAGTCACGCAGCAATGCAAAATCAGACATATACGGTGTACCGTCACGCAGCAATACAAAATCAGACATTATACTGTGTATCGTCATGCAGCAATGCAAAATCAGACATATACTGTATGCCGTCACGCAGCAATGCAAACTTAGACATTATACTGTGTGCCGTCACGCAGCAATGCAAAATCAGACATATATTGTGTACTGTCATGCAGCAATGCAAAATCAGACATATACTGTGTATCGTCATGCAGCAATGCAAAATCAGACATATACTGTGTACCGTCACGCAGAAATGCTAAGTCAGAAATATACTGTGTAAAGTCACGCAGCAATGCAAAATCAGACATTTACTGTGTACCGTCATGCAGCAATGCAAAATCAGACATATACTGTGTACCGTCACGCAGCAATGCTAAGTCAGATATATACTGTGTTTAAAGTCACGCAGCAATGCAAAATCAGACATTTACTGTGTACTGTCATGCAGCAATGCAAAATCAGACATATACTGTGTACTGTCATGCAACAATGCAAAATCAGACATATACTGTGTACCGTCATTCAGCAATGCTAAGTCAGAAATATACTGTGTAAAGTCACGCAGCATTGCAAAATCAGACATTTACTGTGTACCGTCATGCAGCAATGCAAAATCAGACATATACTGTGTACCGTCATGCGGCAATATTTTTGAAAGGTTGTTTTTTTTGCATAGTTTGAGTATAATAAACGTCTTGATATGGCTCAATTATGCATTTTTATTTTTATCACGGGGATCCTTATAAAGTTTATTTGACATATTACAGCCTAACTATAGTTAAGGAATAGCCTCACGTGCCCTTCTGTACAATATGTCACCCACGAATGAAGTTCGTACATGTACGTGATATAAAATTATGAACAAACAAACATAATTACATATTTAGTAGTATGTTAATATTCATACCAAATATAATAATAAAACAAGAACATGTATTTTTAACACAATTAGAAACATAATAATAATGATGATGGTGGTGATGATGATGATGATGATGATGATGATGATGATGATGATGATGATGATGATGATGATGATAATCATAGATAATAATAAGTATAGTTTTGAGGATGATACCAAACTAGGACCACCAATCCTCCTGCCCCAGCTAAAACACTTCATCACAGTATCATAATTATTATCATTCTTAAAACGGGGCTGTAATTTTTTAAAAAGTAAACAAATTCAGACCATTCATTCAGACTAAAAATGTTGGCACCGAACATCGCCAGCCCTTGCTACTAGTGTCTTTCAAGGATATCCTACCTAATGTTGACGATTTTCATCTTCATATAACCAAAACCTTATTATGTACATTTACAAAAAAAAAAAATACAGACGAAAAGAATGCAGACGGGGAAAAAAGACCCATTTCACAAATTTAGTAGAAATGGAAGAAACTTCAAATGTAATGCATTACCTTTAATAGCTTTTATTCACTTCCGTTCTTTATCGTAAGTGGGCTGTATATCAGTTAGCTTAAACAACAACTCAATTATTTTTATATTATCTTATTTATTATATTATCCGCCAATATGTTATTTTTTATTATCTATGACGCATGCGTTTTTAGAAAATCGTCTGCCTTTCAAAAACATTTTTTTTCCAATCCTAGTTTAAAATCTATTGTTTTATGAAATACGTCATTCATTAAAAAGATTTTGCTTGACTGGTATTTATTTCTGACTATTGTTCTTATCTAATGTCTGTTAAGATATATTGTCTATAACGAAGCGCGAAATAATTGCACTCGGTATGCCACATATTAATTGAACTAAAAAAACCAGCGAGGGTATTATTACAAAAACATCGGGGTTGTTAGATTACAAAATGTACTTTGTTAAAAGCTTGTTTACGGAACTTGGTAATTTATCAAACGTAATCTTGTTTAAATTTTTTGTTACTTATATTTGCGATTAAGTGTAATTTTAATTAATGTATACAGTGTATATGCACTGTTTAAGCTATATTTGGATAATAAATTAATACTGATATATTAGCAAGGCTAGTCCGACTCCCTAGAGAAATAAATAAAAAATAAATAAATAAATAAAAATGAAATTCACACATGAATAAAAAAAGGAAATATTAAAAAAAGGAAACCAAACGGCATTTAGTTGTTTTAAAGGTAATTATTACATATGCACACGCAGATATTGTTTTTCCACTATTTCTTTTAAATATACATATAAAAAGTAATAAGTTGGACAAGAAACAGCATCAGAAATTTAATCCAATTTCTTAAAAACAAACAAAAAACATCACATGAAAAACAAAAGAAAACATTAAGATACCTGTGTTGATATCTTCAAAGAAGTCCTTCCTATGTATTAGCAAACGTTCCTTAATTTAACTAATTAATTCTTTATAAATACGTCCAAAAACAGTAAAGAACGCTCAGAGTCAAATTTGCAGACGACTGCAAAATTGTGCATGCACGCACGCGCTTATATAGCAACGACCTTGGGGGCAGTAATGTATTTTGGCGAGCACTAGAAATACTATATTTGTCTTGTTTGTAAATGCTCAATCAAATGTCATTGAAAGTACAAATAAATTATAATAAAACCTTACAATAAGCGATTTCACTTTGATTGTTTAAACTATCAATCAATCAACCAATCAATCAATCAATCAACATCATTATCAAAGTTGTCATCATTATTGTTATCATAATCATCATATTTTATTGTTATGAATATCATTTTTATTATTATTTAATTATTATTAATAATAATGATAATAATAATAATAATTCAAGCTAAAATGTTCTTATTTTGCTGCACCTAAGTTTAAATGTTCTAATATTGTAAGTTTTCGGTCTCAATGTTCTAATATTAAAAACGTTCAAGCTAAGATGTTCTAATTTTGCTGCACCTAAGTTTAAATGTTCTAATATTGTAAGTTTTCGGTCTCAATGTTCTAATATTAAAAACGTTCAAGCTAAAATGTTCTTATTTTGCTGCACCTAAGTTTAAATGTTCTAATATTGTAAGTTTTCGGTCTCAATGTTCTTATTTAAAAAAAAGGTTCAAGCTAAAATGTTCTAATTTTGCCGCACCTAAGTTTAAATGTTCTAATATTGTAAGTTTTCGGTCCCAATGTTCTAATATTAAAAACGTTCGAGCTAAAATGTTCTAATTTTGCTGCACCTAAGTTCAAATGTTCTAATATTGTAAGTTTTCGATCTCAATGTTCTAATATTGAAAACGGTCAAGCTAAAATGTTCTTATTTTGCTGCACCTAAGTTTAAATGTTCTAATATTGTAAGTTTTTCGGTCTCAATATTCTAATATTAAAAACGTTTAAGCTGAAATGTTCCAATTTTGCTGCACCTAAGTTTAAATGTTCTAATATTGTAAGTTTTTCGGTCTCAATGTTCTAATTTTAAAAACGTTCAAGCTAAGATGTTCTAATTTTGCTGCACCTAAGTTTAAATGTTCTAATATTGTAAGTTTTCGATCTCAATGTTCTAATATCAAAATTGTTCAAACTAAAATGTTCTAATTTTGCTGCACCTAAGTTTAAATGTTCTGATATTGTAAGTTTTTCGGTCTCAATGTTCTAATTTTAAAAACGTTCAAGCTAAGATGTTCTAATTTTGCTGCACCTACGTTTAAATGTTCTAATATTGTAAGTTTTCGGTCTCAGTGTTCTAATATTAAAAACGTTCAAGCTAAGATGTTCTAATTTTGCTGCATCTATGTTTAAATGTTCTACGACGTAATATTGTAAGTTTTCGATCTCAATGTTCTAATATTAAAATCGTTCAAGCTAAAATGATCTAATTTTGCTGCACCTAAGTTTAAATGTTCTAATATTGTAAGTTTCCGATCTCAATGATCTAATATGCAAAACGTTCAAGCTAAAATGTTCTAATTTTGCTGCACCTAAGTTTAAATGTTCTAATATTGTACGTTTTCGATCTCAATGTTCTAATATTTAAAATGTTCAAGCTAAAATGTTCTAATTTTACTGCAACTAAGTTTAAATATTTTAATATTGCAAGTGTTCGGTCCAAATATTCTAATATTAACAGCTTTCCATTTGAAATGTTCTAATTTTGCCGCACCTAAGTTTAAATGTTCTAATAGTGTGAGTTTTCGTTTTCAATGTTCTAATGTTAAAAACTGTCAAGCTAAATTGTTCAAATTTTGCCGTATCTAAGTTTTAATGTTCTATTATTGCAAATGTTGGATCCCGATATTCTAATAAAAACAGCTTTCCGGTTGGAATGTTATAATTTTGCCAGCACCTAAGTTTTCGGACTCAATGTCCTACTATTGCATGTTTTCGGTGTCAATGTTCTAATATCAATAGCTTTCCAGTTAAAATGTTCTAAAATTGCGAGAAAATCAATTAAAATGACCTTATACTGCGAGAAAAACATGCTTTTAATGTTCTTTTATTGTCAGATAACATGTTTACAAAGACATTAAACATGTTTTTTTTTCTTTTATGGCATGAATGCATTTTAATGCATATTATTTCGTTAACTGTAGTATTTCATTCAATTTATTTTTATGCTTCAATAAATAAAATAGTAAAACAGACGACAATCCCTGCAAAAATTATCACGAAAAAAATAAATGAGCGCGTCACGACAAAACCAACATAATGGGTTTGCGACCAGCATGGATCCAGACCAGCCTGCGCATCCGCGCAGTCTGATCAGGATCCATGCTGTTCGCTTACTAACTACATGTATTACAAGTAGGGAAACTGATAGCGAACAGCATGGATCCTGAACAGACTGCGCGGATGCGCAGGCTGGTCTGGATCAATGCTGGTCGCAAACCCATTATGTTGGTTTTGTCGTGACGCGGCTCAAATCATAATAATAGCTAGAGTGCATAATAAAGTCTGTATGCAATATGATAACGTAACAAATTAAAGATCATAAACCCGGACTTTCTGACTGATAAGTTATTTTATGCGATTAATAAAAAAGAAAAAACGTTATTGTATATTGAAAACATCAAAAATACCTTATATGACTCATTAGTGGAAACTCAATGGGGGTTATGCATTGATTTTAAATTGTAATATTTTATACAAGTGCAAAGCTTTGTTGATAAGGGCAAATAGGAGTGAAATAAAACCACTGAAACAACTTTTTGGTAACGGGTGAAAATTTCTTTAAGTCTTAATCTATTGATTTAAAGACGAAAATTAACACAAGAAGAAAAAAAAACCAAGTCTTGGTTTATGCATAACTACCATATGTATCGAAATCACGACATGCGATTAGACATGTTCTTTAAAGGCCCATTATGCCTAAAAATGCTTTTATTTCTATTCCTCAAAGCTCTTTATTTTTGGTGTATTGCTATAGTTTCTTAAAATGTACAGCCTGACCAATTACTGAGCCATCTTTTGCTCTGTTGCTTTTTGGCAATTCGTAGTACTAGTATTTAAGTAACTTATTATTTTGTATAGAAGTCAAAATACTACTTTCTTTACAGTTTTCTACTTTTATGACAGATAATTTCACTTTAGTGCTACTTTCTTCAGGTGAAATATATCTAACATGCTCTTAAACCGTTATTCAAACGATATGAAACTATTTTACCCTTTCTAAAGAATATTACTTTTTTATTTTTGAGGCATAATGTGCCTTTAACAAAATACTGTTTCATTTAACATGAGCTATTAAAAAATCTTTCCGATTCACAAACTACTGATTACATTCTACAGTCTCTTATAGTATTATACGACTTAAAATATGCTAGCATAGCAAATCATATATACATTATATTGTAAGCTTAAACAGTTATGCATGTTAAATTTGCAAACTAAGTTATCATAAACAGGTATGCATGATGTGTATATAATCAAACCATTGGTTCATTTTGGCCCATAAAACATGCCGAGGCGGTGGGTATGGCGAAACATCGCGATATTATTAGCTTGTAGTACATGTAATTGGAAAATGGACAAATTCCTAAAAAAAAAGAACAACAAAAAAAACATAGTTAGAATATAGTGTTTCGTTGTATACTTCTTTTTTACTTGACATACCACCTTTCATCAGTAGAATGAGCATTAACCGGATTGGTGTATGTCACGTACTTGTTTTCAGCAGAGAATGACCTGTCGTATGCAAATGGGTACATGTACCGTTTTAGTAGATTTTGCAAATGGGTAACTGATACGGATAAATGCCTTCTCTTATAAAATCTTGTAAAATATCTGGCTTGGAAGAATACGTTTTCTTTTTATACATTTGCTCGCTTGGCGGATTTACACATTTGCTAGCTTGACAGAATATTTTTTTCTTTTTATACATTTGCCATTTTCTGTCTATACTTTAACTAAGTCGAGGGAAATATTTTCTTTTTTTTACATTTGCTAGCTTGGCAGAAAAGGTTTTCTTTTTATACATTTGAAAGCTTCGCGGAATACGTTTTCTTTTTATACATTTGCTACCTTGACAGAATATGTTTTCTTTTTATACATTTGATAGCTTGACAGAATATGTTTTCTTTTTATACATTTGCTTGCTTGGCGGAATACGTTTCTTTTTATACATTTGCAAGCTTAGCGGAATACGTTTTCTTTTTATACATTTGCAAGCTTGGCGGAATACGTTTTCTTTTTTTACATTTGCTCGCTTAGCGGAATACGTTTTCTTTTTATACATTTGCAAGCTTGGCGGAATACATTTTCTTTTTATTACATTTGCTCGTTTGGCGGAATACGTTTTCTTTTTTTACATTTGCTCGCTTGGTGGAATACGTTTTCTTTTATACATTTGCTAGCTTTGCAGAATAGGTTTTCTTTATGACCAGTTGCGAGCTTTGCAGAATATGTTTTCTTTTTATACATTTGCTAGCTAACATAATCTTTTTCTGTTTATACTTTGACTAGGTCCAGGGAAAACGTTTCCTTTTTTTACATTTGCTAGCTTGTCAGAATATGTTTTCTTTTTTACATTTGCTAGCTTGGCAGAATATGTTTTCTTTTTATACATTTGCTAGCTTGACAAAATATGTTTCCTTTTTATTCATTTGCTCGCTTGACAGAATATGTTTTTTTATACATTTGCTCGCTTGACAGAATATGTTTTCTTTTTATACATTTGCTAGCGTGACAGAATATGTTTCTTTTTTATACATTTGCTCGCTTGGCGGAATACGTTTTCTTTTCATACATTTGCCCGCTTGGCGGAATACGTTTTCTTCTTATACTTTTGCAAGCTTGGCGGAATACGTTTTCTTTTTATACATTTGCTAGCTTTGCAGAATACGTTTTCTAAATGAACAGTTGCGAGCTTGGCAGAATATGTTTTCTTTTTATACATTTGCTCGCTTGACAGAATATGCTCCCTTTTTATACATTTGCTCGCTTGACATAATACGTTTTTTTTTAATGCATTGCTAGCGTGGCAGAATATGTTTTCTTTTTATACATTTGCTCGATTTGCAGAATACGTTTTCTTAATAAA